ATGGCGCATTATCCTGCTGAAAGTAGCCATCAGAAGTTGGGTACATTGTGGTCATAAAGGGATGGACATGGTCAGCAACAATACTCAGGTAGGCTGTGGCGTTGCAACGATGCTCAATTGGTACCAAGGGGCCCAAAGAGTGCCAAGAAAATATTCCCCACACCATGACACCACCACCACCAGCCTGAACCGTTGATACAAGGCAGGATGGATCCATGCTTTCATGTTGTTGACGCCAAATTCTGACCCTACTATCCGAATGTCGCAGCAGAACTTGAGACTCATCAGACCAGGCAACGTTTTTCCAATCTTCTATTGTCCAATTTCGATGAGCTTGTGCAAATTGTAGCCTCAGTTTCCTGTTCTTAGCTGAAAGGAGTGGCACCCGGTGTGGTCTTCTGCTGCTGTAGCCCATCTGCCTCAAAGTTCGACGTACTGTGCGTTCAGAGATGCTCTTCTGCCTACCTTGGTTGTAACGGGTGGTTATTTGAGTCACTGTTGCCTTTCTATCAGCTCGAACCAGTCTGGCCATTCTCCTCTGACCTCTGGCATCAACAAGGCATTTCCGCCCACAGAACTGTCGCTCACTGGATATTTTTTCTTTTTCGGACCATTCTCTGTAAACCCTAGAGATGGTTGTGCGTGAAAATCCCAGTAGATCAGCAGTTTCTGAAATACTCAGACCAGCCCTTCTGGCACCAACAACCATGCCATGTTCAAAGTCACTCAAATCACCTTTCTTCCCCATACTGATGCTCGGTTTGAACTGCAGGAGATTGTCTTGACCGTGTCTACATGCCTAAATGCACTAAGTTGCCGCCATGTGATTGGCTGATTAAAAATTAAGTGTTAACGAGCAGTTGGACAGGTGTACCTAATAAAGTGGCCGGTGAGTGTAATTGTAAGGTTTTGATGGTCATAAAACCTCTAAACGGAATGGAACCAAGCGGTTGCAGGGACAGAAACCACCTGGTGATGCGACTGTTGGTGTCCCTCATCTTCTCCAGCCATTGCAGTGCTCGGTGGTCGGTTTCCAGCTTGAACTCTCTTCCCATCAGGTAGTATTTGAAGGTGTCGATGGCCCACTTAATGGCCAAACACTCCAGCTCCACCGCCGAGTATCTGGTCTCCCGGGGAAAAAGCTTCCTGCTGATGTAGGCCACTGGTTTCCTCCCCTCTCCATCTCCTTGTAGAAGGACTCCTCCTATCCCCCGCTGTGATGCGTCTGTCTGAACTGTGAAGGGTAAGGTGAAGTTTGGGCTCTGCAGCACAGGGTCCTGGCACAGAGCTTCTTTGAGGTCTTGAAAGGCCTTCTCCTGCTCGTCACCCCACACCACCTTGGTTTTTGCTGTGCTTGTGAGGTCTGTTAAAGGGGCCGCCCTGGCAGAGAATTCCCGGATAAAACGCCGGTACCAGCCGACCAGACCCAAGAAGGACTTCACCTGCTTCCTGGTTGTAGGCCTCTCCCTTGCCCGGATCGCCTCCACCTTATCCTGTACAGGCTTGATGACTCCGCCCCCAAGGATGTAGCCCAGGTACTGTGTCTCCTGCTTAGCCACTGCACATTTCTTAGGGTTGATAGTAAGGCCTGCCTCCTTGATTTTCCCCAACACGACCTGCAGATGGCTCAGATGGTCCCTCCAGGAGGTACTGTAAATAACAATATCATCCAGGTAAGCTGCTGCATACCCACCAGCACTTGATTCATCAACCTCTGGAAGGTCGCTGGGGCGCCGTGGAGACCAAACGGCATCTTGGTGAACTGCCAGAGTCCCTGAGGTGTTCTGAAGGCAGTGAGAGGCTTAGCAGCATCAGACAGTGGCACCTGCCAATAGCCTTTACAGAGATCCAGTGTAGTTATGAACTTGGCTTGGCCTACCCGTTCAATGAGGTCATCCAGTCTGGGCAAAGGATAGGCGTCAAACTCAGATTGTGCATTCACCTTCCGGAAGTCGATGCAGAACCTGATGCTCCCATCTTTCTTGATTACCAGCACAATAGGACTGCTCCATTCACTGGTCGAGGGCTCAATCACTCCCAGCTCCAGCATGACTGCCACCTCCTCCTCTAACACTGGGATCAACTTGTGTGGAATGCGATACATCTTTTGCCTGATAGGGGTACTGTTTTTCAGGCGGATGTCGTGTTCCACCAGATTCGTCGCCCCTGGTCTCTCCTGAAACAGGTCTGGTGGCACAATGGCTTGTAGCTCCTGCTGCTGGGTTGGAGAGAGATGAGAGAGGTCAAGGGATGCAGAGTTCTGACAGGTAGGAGTAAACTCACCAACAACATCATCTTCCTCTTCCACAGTTCGAACAAAAAACTGCTGTTGGGGTGGATTTTCCCGGGTTTTCCACTCCTTCAGCAGATTAATATGGAAAGTCTGCTTTGGATTTCTCCTCTCTGGTACCTCAATTCATAAGTTGTTTGACTTAGCTTCCTCTGCACAGTATATGGACCCTGCCATTTTGCCAGCAGCTTGTTCTCCACTGTTGGAAGTAAAAGCAATACCTTTTGCCCTGGGTTGAATGATCTCTCTCTGGCCGCCCTGTCGTACCAGGTTTGTTGTCCTTTTTGTGCCTTCATCATGTTTTTTCTCACCAGATTTGTAGTCTGCTCCATCTTCTCTCTTATTTCCAGTACAAATGTCAGCAGACCTGTTTTCTTCTCCTGGGGTGCCACCCAGGATTCCTGTAGCACATCAAGGGGACCCCTCACCTGCCTTCCATAGAGGAGCTCGAACGGTGAAAAGCCGGTTGATGCTTGGGGCACCTCCCTGTAGGCAAAAAGGAGATACGGGAGCCACTTATCCCAGTCTTTTGCGTTAGTGGAGATGAACTTTTTCAGCATGCTTTTGAGAGTTCGGTTGTATCTCTCCACCAGGCCATCGGTCTGTGGGTGGTAAGGGGTAGTCCGAATACTCCTAATACCTAAGAGCCTATACACCTGTTTCAGTGTATTTGAAAGAAAGTTTGTGCCCTGATCTGTTAGTATCTCAGATGGAATGCCTACTCTCGAGAAAAGCTGCAACAATGCATATGCTATTTGTTTAGCAGTAATATCTCTCAGTGGAAATGCTTCAGGATATCTGGTACTGTAATCACAGACTACAAGTATATAGCGATGTCCTAACTGTGTTCTCTCTAGAGGGCCAACAATATCCATAGCTATTCGACTAAATGGGACATCGATGACTGGAAGAGGCTGCAATGGGTATTTGGGAACCCTCTTATCCCCTGTTAGCTGACAAACAGAGCAGGTCTGACAGTACTTTTGTACATCTGAGCTTAACCCTGGCCAATAAAACCGACTGGAAATTCTGTCCAATGTCTTCTTGGCCCCTAGATGACCCGCCCATGGAATGCTATGGCCTAGCTTAAGCACCTGCTCCCGATGTCCCTGTGGAACCACTAACCTTTCCCTGTCATCTAGATCAGCCTTGTAGTACAGTACCTGGCCCCTGAGGAAAAAACCCATTCCTGCTACCTGCCCCGGCTGCACTACTTTTGCTTGTTGAAAGAAATCCTGCAATGATTCATCCTGTTCTTGCTGCTGTAAGAATTTACTACCTGTGTCTTCACCCCTAGGCTCTAGCTCTGCCAGCCCTGAACCTGATCTAATTGTCCCTTCCATTTTCTCTAGTCTTCTCTGCCTACGACTTTTCCTTACTTTAACAGAACTATCCAAAAAGTCCTCATTAAAGAAAGGAAACTCTGAGAGGGCCCTGAAATCCTCCTCAGCTATGGACTGTGGACTCCCTACATCTGTCTCACTCTGCAATGTTGGCTGGGGGACTTGCTCCTCTACTCCTTGAACCTTTACATCTGGTTCTGGCTGGTCCCCACTCACTTGCTTCTCCTCCAAAGCCTGAGTCTGTCTCTGTGACCTAGTAACTATGTTAACTGGTCTACATCCCCGAACCAACTCCTGAAGGATTGGAATGTCCTGCCCCAAAATGACCTGATAAGCTAAGCTCTCTATCACCCCCACTGACACGATGTAAGTTTGCCCTGCTACCTCCAGATACACCTCTGTGGTTGGATAAGTTTTACAATGTCCATGTACACAAGATATATCAAGTTCTGGCTTTCCTAAGACAATTTCCTTTGCAACTAATGAAGGATGGATCAAAGTCTGGGTGCTGCCAGTATCAAGTAGAGCATTTGCTGGTTTACCATTAATTTTAACAGTGGTGACCTGCTGTTTTCCTACTATGCCCTTCTCATTCTGATTAGGATGAGGGACAGTGCAGAAATAAGCAGCTTTAGCTTTTCTAGCTGGGCATTCTGGTTTAATGTGACCTTCCTGACCACAATAAAAGCATACAGGCTTAGCAGTTGACCTTGGTTTAAAATTAGCTACAGGCTTCTCTACAGGTCTAACTGGTTCTATTTCCTTAGGACCACTACCAACCCCGGACCTGCATGGCTTACCCCGTACCGGGCTGGACTTTTTTGGAGACTCGAATCTGTAGTTCTTGTACCCCCCTCGAGCAGCAAGGAAGGTTTCCACCAGCTGAGCTGCCTCTCGTGCAGTCTTTGGATCTCTTTCCTTCACCCACACTCTCAGCTCCATGGAAAGGGAACGGTAGAACTGCTCCAGAATGAAGATCTCTCCCACCTGGTCCTTTGTCCTCTTCTCAGGCTGGATCCATTTGTTGTAGAGGTCTTTAAGTCGATTGTAGAACTCTTTTGGGCTCTCATTTGGTCGGATGTCTGGTTCTCTAAACCTCTGCCGATAGATGTCCTCGTTGATTTCATACTTGGCAAGGATGGCTTCTTTGACCCTCTTATAGTCCAATGTGTCCTCTGCAGCCATGGCCACATAAGCTGCTCGAGCCTTACCAGTCAGATGAGGAACCAACCATATGACCCACTCATCCTCTGGCCACTGGTAGGCCACTGCAAGGCGCTCAACGGTGGTCAGGTACTGCTCAATATCGTCCCCTTCCTCCAGCCGAGGAATTGCTGCCTGCCCCCAGCTCCTACCCCTTGACTCACTGCGGGTGCTGGGTTGGGCCCCCTGCTCCTCCACCTCGTGCTGTGCCCCTGGCATGCTCTGCTGAGGATAGCTTTCTCCCCTCTGCTGCTGCTCCAGTTCATCTCTGATGCTGTTGACTTGTATCTGCATTTGGCGCCACCTCATGTCCTGTTTAATTGTCTCTTTTTCCCACCTTTCACTCAGGTCATGCTGAAAGTGAAGACATTGCTGCAACATGCTGTTAATGGAATCCATTTCTGGAGGCCCCTGGTGCGCCTCCCTTGGCCTCAGGATTCTGGACTCTCCTGCTGCACCCTCATCCGGGCAATCCTCAACAGCTTCTCCCCTTGGAGTTTTGGCTTGAGCTTTTGGTCCCATGCTGTCTGTCCTCAAAGCTGAAACTCTTCACTCTGATTGCGTCATATCCCACTTCTGACACCACATGTAAGGTTTTGATGGTCATAAAACCTCTAAACAGAATGGAACCAAGCGGTCGTGAAGATCTCCAGCATGAGGAAAAAGGATGGTGTCAGACAGCAGGTTTCAGAGCTCTGATATTTTTTAATAAGTCCAAGTTATCACACAAAGCAGTCTTAACAATGATCATTCTTTGAGCAGCAGGCTGCAGAAAGCCACCCACACCTCTCTCCACTCACACAGGTGTGTCCACTTTTAAGCTGAGTGGGGCTCTCTCACCTGCTCCCCCCTCCCTCTTTCTCTCACCTGCATGACAGTGATAGGTATGTGCAGATCTGACCTCTAACAACTTAATCCGGATATACAATGGCCCTAATACTTAATAGGAAGAACATAAATGAATATAAATTAACCCAAAATAGCTAAATAACCCGAAACAGACCAAACTAAAGCTAAATCCCACTAAATAACTCTACCCCTCCCCCTTTCTCTGCTCACTAACCCAGCCTAACAAGCTGATTTGCTACTGCTGGGACCTGTTTGCTGCATCCCCATGTGTGCACTCCATGCGGACACGCCCCCACAAGATGGTGACCTCGAAGAGAGGAGAGGTTAGCAGTGTTTAACACAATAAAATAAACAAAAACCATGTCCATGAATAGTCAGATATTGTACCGACTTCACCTCAGTGAGGGGAGGGTTTTCCAGCTCCCTCACAATAATATAAATTATATATCATATATTTATATTTTTATATGTATGTATGTATGTATATATGTATATATGTATATATATATATATATATATATATATATATATATATATATCAAGAAGATAGACTGATTGTCTGCTATTTTTAATTTGTATTTACATTTGAATGTGCTACAGATGAGAGTTAATTAAAGAATACTTAAAAATGTAGGACAGAAACAAAAAATAATCACCAATGACTCAGGAAACACTTTAATGAATTTATAATGGGGAGACAGAGCTACAATGTAAACCAAAATGGGAAAAAATGGCAGTACTGAAAGATCTGTTGAAATAGATGGTATAAAAAGATATACCAAAAGTATTCATAAAGTTGATAAAACAATGATAAATACTTACCTTTGTGTCAGTAGAATATTCTTCAAATAAGACAATAAATTGAATTTCTCTTCAGGAATAAATATAGTCCTTATTTCATCTTATCTCATCTAAGTTGCAAAAGCATCTGTCAGATCTTGTCAACATATTGTCAGATTTTTCTCAGATTTTAAAACAAAAAACATTTACTTAGGTAGAAGGCAAGAATTCAAAGTTGCCTCAAGTGGGATTTGAATTGAGACAGCAAGAATTCAGTTGCTGCAAGTGGGATTCAAACCCTCACTGCCTCTCATTTCTCTCTCTCCACCCTCCCTCAGGAGGTAGAGCGGTTGTCTAATAACTGGAAGGTTGGCAGTTCAATCCCTGCCCTATCCCTAGTCTGTCTGTTGTGTCCTTGGGTAAGACACTTAACCCACCTTGCACCCACTAGTGTATGATTGTGAGTATTGTGAAGTGGTGGTCAGAGAGGCCATAGGTGCAATTTGGCAGCCATGTGTCCGTCAGTCTGCCTTCGGGCAGCTATGGCTACTAACTAAGGTAGTTTACCACCACTGGGTTGTGACTGTGTGAATGAATGAATGATGTATCCAATGTAAAGCACTTGGAGACCACTGATAAAAAACACTATAATACATTTTATTTGTTAAGCGCTTTTCACAGACTCAAAGACGCTGTACATAACTAAAATCATACATCAATATACAATAAAATACATCAATATCAATTTAAAATCAAGTAAAATCAGGTAAAATCAACAATGAGGGGGGGGGGGGGGGGCTATAAACTATAAAATCTGATGCATTATTATTATTATTATTATTATTATTATTATTATTATTATTATTATTATTAAGTTATGGATATCAATGATGTTTGGGTTATGGTCCAATATGTAAAGCATTGGTAAAACTTCTTAAATACATTGTTTTTTTTCTTCGGAATTATGGTGAGGCTTCTGTGTTGAGTCCTTTATCACTGGGATTACTTGATTTATTATGGTGTGGGATTGTGTTTTTCTATTATGAGATCATTCAGCTCTAGTTTATGTTTTCTTCATTATGTAAATCTGATGGGTTAGCAATGTATGCATGTTCTAATTCTTGAACTTTTTTCTCTTTTGAGTTTTGGGATGGGACTTCATGGTTAGTTTGAAAGAAACTGGTGTGTGAGTCCTTGTGTCTGTAATATCTTGGAGCGTGTTGCTGATTATAAAAAACTCTTTTCTGGAAAATGAAGGATGGACTTGAGAAAAGTGGGTGTATTTTCTTTGACACAGATGGTTACCCTTGGCAAAAAGTAGAATACTTAAAGTTCATTTTATTAAGTATGCTTGAGTTTAAGTAATAGTACAGAATATCAAGTATACCACGTACTTTTAGTGTACTACAAAGTATACTAATTTAATACTTCTTCAGACTAAATTGGAACATTTTTAGTTTATAAAAGTATACTTTAATTATATTCTATAAATTAATTTTAAGTTGAATAAAGTATACTATAAGTAGACTCTATAAGTTCATTTTGAGTTTACAGAAGTATACTTTAAAGTAATAAACTTTCCTTTTTAGTTTATAAAAGTACACTCTAAAGGACACCTTTATTTTATTTTATTTTATTCTTTTTTTTGGGGGGGGGGGGGGGGGTTGCCTTCAATGGGTTAGGCAGAGTGGCAATGTAGGAGATAGAGGGACAACATGCAGCACATGGTCAGGACAGGAACTGAACCTGTGACCACAGTGGGGACCACAGTCCCCAGCATGGGGTGCATTTTAATCCACTCGGCTATCTGCTGACTTTTGGTACGCTATTTCAATAGTAGTTCACTACACCCTTCATAAGTATATATAATATCTCTTGGTTACCTTGTTAGGCTTCATTATCCATGAAAATATTGCCTATAAAATTTTTTGTTGTAGGCCTCTGGGCCTTTTTTTTTCAGTATACCCCTCACACAGACATCTATACTGAATTGATTTCATGTGTCTAGACATGCCTGTTGTTTTTGTGCAAAGAAAGACAAGGCTAAATGAGAATCCCCTGAATTTCACATGATTGGAAGATGATCTAGCTGCCAGTGTGTTGCTTGACAGCGCACTTACGATTTCAGTTTTGGCTCTAATTATTGTTTTATAATTTAACCAGGTCAACAACAGCCTTTGGTAACAGCCTTACCCTTACAAGACAGGTGCCATAATTTTGAATATAGCATTTAAAAATTTAGTTAACTATTTTTTTCTTTATTTTGTTGAAATAGAGGTTTCTGAAAAAGTAAAAAAAAAAAAAATCAAAAAAGTTTCAACAAATTTATGTGGTTCTTTTATGCATTTAAAACCAAACCTGTACACTGGAGGAGGAGTGTGATTGACTTTATGCCCTTTGAAGCAATCAGCTTTTGGCAGAAAGACAAAACTTTACTTTTCTTTAATATTTGGAACCCCTTTCTGCAATTTATTGGAGAGGACTGGGCTCGGGATCTCCAGAGAGGCTTACCCGGTTAAGCGTGGTCTGACATAAGCGACCACACCAACAGTTAATCGTCCACTATTTTGTCTTATTTACACACATCTTTTTCTTTTCTCATATTTTTATCCTTTCTTTAAAATGTCTCTCACCACCCTTGAGGTGCAATGTTTTTGCCTTTTTAGTGTGACTGTTTGTATATCTACCTTGCAGTGGCGATTGCTCTAAGACTGCAAGGGAAGCTCAGCTTCCCTTAAAATGTCAACCCCCCAAAAAAAGACATAGTGGTGAAATACACTCACCGGCCACTTTATTAGGTACACCATGCTAGTAACGGGTTGGACCCCCTTTTGCCTTCAGAACTGCCTCAATTCTTCGTGGCATAGATTCAACAAGGTGCTGGAAGCATTCCTCAGAGAGCTTGGTCCATATTGACATGATGGCATCACACAGTTGCCGCAGATTTGTCGGCTGCACATCCATGATGCGAATCTCCCGTTCCACCACATCCCAAAGATGCTCTATTGGATTGAGATCTGGTGACTGTGGAGGCCATTTGAGTACAGTGAACTCATTGTCATGTTCAAGAAACCAGTCTGAGATGATTCCAGCTTTATGACATGGCGCATTATCCTGCTGAAAGTAGCCATCAGAAGTTGGGTACATTGTGGTCATAAAGGGATGGACATGGTCAGCAACAATACTCAGGTAGGCTGTGGCATTGCAACGATGCTCAATTGGTACCAAGGGGCCCAAAGAGTGCCAAGAAAATATTCCCCACACCATGACACCACCACCACCAGCCTGAACCGTTGATACAAGGCAAGATGGATCCATGCTTTCATGTTGTTGACGCCAAATTCTGACCCTACCATCCGAATTTCGCAGCAGAAATCGAGACTCATCAGACCAGGCAACGTTTTTCCAATCTTCTATTGTCCAATTTCGATGAGCTTGTGCAAATTGTAGCCTCAGTTTCCTGTTCTTAGCTGAAAGGAGTGGCACCCGGCGTGGTCTTCTGCTGCTGTAGCCCATCTGCCTCAAAGTTCGACGTACTGTGCGTTCAGAGATGCTCTTCTGCCTACCTTGGTTGTAACGGGTGGTTATTTGAGTCACTGTTGCCTTTCTATCAGCTCGAACCAGTCTGGCCATTCTCCTCTGACCTCTGGCGTCAACAAGGCATTTCCGCCCACAGAACTGCCGCTCACTGGATATTTTTTCTTTTTCGGACCATTTTCTGTAAACCCTAGAGATGGTTGTGCGTGAAAATCCCAGTAGATCAGCAGTTTCTGAAATACTCAGACCAGCCCTTCTGGCACCAACAACCATGCCACGTTCAAAGTCACTCAAATCACCTTTCTTCCCCATACTGATGCTCGGTTTGAACTGCAGGAGATTGTCTTGACCATGTCTACATGCCTAAATGCACTAAGTTGCCGCCATGTGATTGGCTGATTAGAAATTAAGTGTTAACGAGCAGTTGGACAGGTGTACCTAATAAAGTGGCCGGTGAGTGTACGTACTGCTGTGTGTACATTTCATTAACTAAATACGCGCTAGAAAGCCTTCATCTTTTGTTCAGAATCAGCTTCTTATCACAGTGTGATAAGAAGCTGATTCTGCACAACTTCGTTCTCATTCATCCTCGCAGCGCCTCAGCGCTTTACACAGCCGGACGCCCAGCTTCTGCTGACTTCAATGTGGAAGCTCAAAGTGGGTTGTTCCAGCAGCGAAACTAGACGCTCATTGGATAAATGCTGGGCTTTGTCCTGCCCATCGGACGCTCAGCTTCTCTGGAGTTCTATGGCGAGAAGGGCGGTCCCGACTTTCTCCCGGACTCCGAGCTTCTGCATCCATGATTGGATGAGCTGTCTGAGGCGAAATCCTTTTTTGATTGACAGCTAAACAAGCGAATCAGCGATCTTGAAGAATAAAACATCTACCAAAGCATTTTCCAAGTTATTCATTCCGTTGTTCTTAACTGCTCCGGAGACTTTACCGATCCTCAGCGACTTTTGTCTTTGTTAAAAACGACTCTGTTCTGTTACATACAAATAAACAAACACAATTATGATGTAGGCTAGAAAAATGAGCTTCCCCTCCTTGAAAGACCAGCAGCTGCCACTGCTACCTTGTATATTTGATCCCCCTTTTTGTTATTATCTGCTTGTTTCTTTCTGTTCTTGTTTGTATGTTTATTTTTTCCCCTCTTTTCTTTTGATATCCTGTTGAGTCTGGAGGATATATCTATGTTTGTCTGTTGACTAAAAAATAAAAAATAAAACCAAAAAGATTTTTTAAGACTTTTTATCAGTTGCTCTGATTTTAATCATTAATTGTTTTTATTGATGTAAACTGGTTTTACAAAGTAAATTCTTTGCATAAAATGTCACTTATAAAGCCTGCTCTCATCATGTTGAAAGATTAGTGGTCCATTCGTAAGTGTGATAGATGTACCTGAAGTGTCAGTATCTCCTCTCGTTAAGATTATTGTAATGCCCTATTCTCTGGCCTCCCCAAGAAGAACTTACATACCCTTCAATTACTCCTCCTATTTATCTGACTTACTTTTATCATATCAACCTTTGCGGGCCCTGAGGTCCTCCAGCAAAGGCTCTTTAACCTTACCCAAAGTTAAAACAGAAACACACGGGGAAGCGGCTTTCAGTTTCTATGGCCCCCGGTTGTGGAACAGCCTGCCGGAGAGCCTTGGGGCCACAAGACTGTTGATGTTTTTAAGAGGAGGCTCAAGACTCACTTTTTTAACCAGGCTTTTCACTGATTGCATTTTCTTATTTCTCTTCCTGCTACTGTTCATTTTATTCGGAATTCTTAATGTTTATTTTCTGTATTCTTGTCTTAGACCATCAGATACAGTGCATCCAGAAAGTATTTATACCACTTCACTTTTTCCACATTTTGTTATGTTACAGCCTTATTCCAGAATGGATTAAATTCCTTTTTTCCCTCAAAAATTCTAAACAAAATACCCCATAATGACAAAGTGGAAAACTTTTCTTGGAACATTTTGCAAATTTATTAAAAATAAGACACTCAAATGTTGCATATACATAAGTATTCACACCCTTTGCTATAAAACTCAAAATTGAGCTCAGGTGCATCCTGTTTCAACTGATCAGCCTTGAAATGTTCCTCCAACTGGATTGCAGTCTACATATGGCAAATTCAGCTGATTGGAAGTGATTTGGAAAGCCACACCTGTCTATATAAGATCCCACAGCTGACAGAGCACATCAGAGCACAAACCAAGCCATGAAGTTGAGAGAATTGTCTGTAGACCTCCGAAACAGGGTTGTATCGGCGCACAGATCTGGGGAAGGTTACAGAAAAATATCTGCTGCATTGAAGATCCCAAAAAGCACAGTGTTCTCCATCATTAAGAAATGGAAGACGTTTGGAACCACCAGGACTCTTCCTAGAGCTGGCCGCCCAGCCAAAATGAGCAAGCGGGGGAGAAGGGCCTTGGTCAGGGAGGTGACCAAGAACCCGATGAGCTCTGACAGAGCTCCAGCGTTCCTCTGAGGAGATGGGAGAACCCTACAGAAGGACCACCATCTCTGCAGCACTCCACCAGTCAGGCATTTATTGTAGAGTGTCCAGACAGAAGCCACTCCTCAGTAAAAAGCACATGACAGCCCGCTTGGACTTTGCTAGAAGGCACCTGAAGGACTCACAGACCAGGAGAAACAAAATTCTCTGGTCTGATGAAACGAAGATTGAACTCTTTGGAGATGTTTTTCAGCGGCAGGAACTGGGAGACTTGTCAGGATCTAGGGAAAAATGAATGCAGCTAAGTACATCGAAATCCTTGATGAAAACCTGCTCCAGAGTGCTCGAGACCTTCGACTGGGGCGACGGTTCATCTTCTAGCATGACAATGACCATAAGCACACGGTCAAGAAGACAAAGGAGTGGCTTCAGGACAAGTCTCTGAATGTCCTTGTGTGGCCCAGCCAGAGCCCAGACTTGAACCCGATTGAACATCTTTAGAAAGACCTGAAAGTAGCTGTGCACCGACGCTGCCCATCCAACCTCACTGAGCTTGAGAGGATGTGCAAGGAAGAATGGGAAAATTCCCCAAATCCAGGTGTGCCAAGCTTGTTGCATCATACACAAGAAGACTGGAGGCTGTAATCACTGCCAAAGGTGCTTCAATAAAGTATTGAGTAAAGGGTGTGAATACTTATGTATATGCAACATTTGAGTGTTCTTTTTTTTGATAAACTTGCAAAATGTTCTAAAAAAAGTTTTTCGCTTTGTCATTATGGGGTATTTTTTGTAGAATTTTGAGGGAAAAAGGGAATTTAATCCATTTTGGAATAAGGCTGTAACATAACAAAATGTGGAAAAAGTGAAGTCGTGTGAATACTTTCCAGATGCACTGTATTACTCTTTCTTTCTACCTTTTTTATCTTTTTATATCCAGTGTTTCCCAAAGGTAGTTCTTTACTCATGCAATGTCTCGGTGTCAAGCCATGTCTCTTTGACAATATATTTTAAATGCTCGCTCTGTGTGCGCACCTGTGTTTGTATGTGATGGTGACTTAGGGTCTCATTGAGTGTGTGTGTAGGTGAGAGGGTCGGGTTTTTATTGTTGAATTTAGCCTCTGTGAGGCACTTTGAACTACATTCTTGTCTGAAAAGTGCCATATGAATAAAAGTTGAATTTGAAATGAGTGTCAATGAGTATTCTTGTCCTCTTTGCAGAATGTAAATAATGAGTGATCAATGGGTCAAATTTAGTCAAATCACCTCCCTGACATTAGATTTCTTTTTGTGTTCAACATATTAAGTTCAAAAACTTATTGAAGCCAAAATATATCATTTCTGAAAGAAGCAGATGTCTGTTAATCCAACAAAATGCAACTCAGAACACAGCATATCAATACACTAACAAGATCAAAAAAGAGTATAGCTGTGATGTAGAAAATAAGAATAAATGTTTAATAGTGAGCTCAAATGTTTTCTTTGAAAAGAAGATAAGAAAAATGGGGAAATGCTTTTCATATTTTGTCTAAATATATCAGGATGTAGTGTGGCATACTTTCCAAACCCAAGATTAGAACAACTCTTTAATCTAGAGGATTAGACTAAAGAGTTGATTATATTTTGGGATGTGGGTGGACAGCCATGGTTGGAGTTATACAATAGAATTAAAAGAGGGTAATAAAGAAGCATGTGGAGAATCCCTTTATTTACAGTATTGTGACTCAATGCTTACAATCAGTTACAGGCACATGCCAATGCTGTACACGAATGTCAAAATTCTGATAAGTAATTGCTAATTGTTTATCTATGGCCATGTTATTGATTTAGGTTGATAATCATAAGAATGGGCTTTAAGGAACAAAAGCTTTAATGTAACTATCAGCAACACAATTATTGTAAGAGCACAGTGATACATCTAACAGCACAGAATAAAGGTAACACAGCATATAAAGGCAAAAAAGGAGATACCTTTTTACATTAATTGAACAAATGTTAAGCAAATGCTAGACACAGTCTGAAGCCAAAAAATTGCAAACTGTTCATTGTAAGTCCAACACTGCAGCAGTTCCATGGTCCATGAAGGAAGAAAGAGTCCTGTAAAGAAGTTGTTATTTCTGCGTGATGGGAAATGAATTCTGGTCCATTAACTCGCCAACTCTCTCCTGGAGCGTGTGAACCACCTCTGCCAAGATGAAGATATGAGTGTCATCCAGGTCTTTGAGGATGAACCTCTTTCCAAGGGCCATGGTTTCATCCAGGTAGAGGAGGAATTGTTTCATGGCTGGATCACTGATAAAGAGCAGAAGGTAAGAGAAAATTTGTCATTCTGCGTATGTTTAGAAAGTACAATTAAAGTTTTACGTTTTGTGATCAAACTTGGCGTCTCGATTTCTTACCATTCAATAAGGACACCTTTATGTACGTTTACCATTCTGACAGGTGCAGAAAAACAGACCTTGTTGCGAATCAGACCACCCGAATCTGCAGCAGACAGGATCCTACCTATCCATGAGTGCGACACGGTTTAGATAAAGGAAAATTACAATTGATCATATATTTTTTATTGATATCTAATCAATTATGATCAGAGGGACAATGTCTGTATGCAACTCAGCGTTAAGTGACTCAATCCAAGTGACCAAAGTTCAGCCTGTTTAGATTGTTAGCGCTAAATTAAGTATACATTAACTTAATCCTGGTGATAGTGTGCTGATTCGCACAACTCTGTAGTATGTGACCGAAATGGCTGCTTTGACCATGAACACACCGGCACGGTTTAAAGGTATTACGTTCAGATTGACTTTTACATACCTGGCAGGCAATCCTCGCTGTTTCTTCAATATGCTCTTTGTGTTCTTCTTCTTCGGTTTTGGCAGACTGACGCATCCGAGGCGTATGGCTGCCCTCTGCTGTTTCCATGCGATATCTGTTAGATCTTCGTCATAATCTGTCGTATATTCCAATGGACTGCAGATACTGCAGCAGCTTCTTCACGTTGTTCCAATTTCGTACATGTTTGCAAATGTCATACCTACATGTATGACATTTGCCGAAAAGACACCTTGTGAAAATCCGTTTTAGTATTCAGGGAGTTATGACTGATTGAATGTACTGACACGTCATTTCGCCTGTCAAACAGACAGCACTGAGCGGAGCGGGTGGCTGTATCAAGATGGCGGTTCCGATGCACGTCAACGCCAATAGGAAGTAGCAGTTTTGCGACATCTACTTTCTATTATGTCTAATTTTAGCAATGTGAAGGAGACCTCAACGTCGTACGGTGTGTACCAAGGGACAATTGTCTTCGTTCTAAAACTTGCGAATATGCACTAACATTACGAACACCCTATGTAACCCAATACAAAACCTCCACCATAAATTCGATTTTCACTAAGCTTCTACATTTTCAGTTTTTGTTGACATGGCCGGGCAGATGACTAACTGATCTTTAAGTCTTTGAGGTTATTCTGAGTGTACTGGAGTGAGTTGCAATATAAAATGTTCCTAATCTTTTGTCCTCCCCATCATGTCTGGGACACATGTCAATATAACCAAATTAAGTACTACATCTGTTGCATTTGTAGTAACAATTTCAAGCACAACAATCACCTGTGTGACCATGTCAATTAAAACTGACTATTAATACTTTTCCAGATGGTACAATTTACAGCAGAGCTGTTGAATTGGATTGCAGTAGATGGCCTAGATATACATAATGGAAGTTTTTTGCTATTTGTTGTCTGATTGGAAAAGGCACCGTGCAAATTAAAACCTTGTATCTAGATTTTACCAACAACAATTAGTTATTGTTGCTGCATGTTGCTTTATCTTCAAATGGATAAAGAGTTTAACAAAACTGCATTGTAATATGATGCAACATGATATTGCGAAGCATTTGGAAAACTGTTTGTGAAAAATGTAGTTGTGCATAGTATGACCATAAAGCAGCTGAACTAACTGAATACAATTTGCAACTGCAGTCTGAAGTAATTAGAAATGCATTGTTCTCCCAGGGCTCGGTAATGAAAATAAAACAGTGCATATACAGTTTAAATAAAGCCTCCACTTCATTCATGTATTCATCATCAGCAGTTTTAGTAGCAATATGGACTGCAAAATCATGGAGAGTAAAGTCCAATTGCTTGATTAGGCCCCAAAATATAAATAAAGTACGCTGAACAAATATTTTTATTGGTTCATTTGAGGTAAAATTGATAAAAGAATATGATATGGCAGACATGATTGTTATACTGTTAGTATAATAAGATACATAAATAAAAAAATAAAACCATTGCTCTGATCAAAAATACTGAGCATGACACGAGACAATGACACGTCAGTGCATTTTAAGTACATGTAATGAGTGCTTTGTGCCAAATATTAAGCTACTATTTTCAAGACAACACTGAAAAAGCTCAGGAAAGTAAAATCTGGATGAAAATGTCATTATTTTAACTAGTGGTGATGTAATTATGTTCCTTACCTGTTTATCTCAAAAGTTAATCTCATTGGTGACATCACAGTACACATTCCCATAGAACAGGATGCATAAAGCATATTTAATTTTCTTAATTATATTTTTTTCACAGCAGTGGTTGTTCAGCTAAATGTGTAACACAGAGATGCAGTAATGTTTCTTTTTGGTTTGGAATTGGGGGCTGATGGTGCTCTTCACCATTTCAAGTATAAAGTAGGTCCTGTGAGGGCACTTGTTTTGTTTCAGTCAGTGGCTGATGAAGCTCTGCAGGGCATCCTTGATGAACTGAAGGCTTCGTTTGTACAGGAATGAATCCTTTCTTTCTGGTTTGCAGATGCTGAGATGATCTACATCAACCTCAATGAGCTCCCCGATGCCTAAATCTGAAACCAAACCATAAAGGGCTCAAGGTAAGAGCTAAAAAACAAACACAAAGGTTTCTTGATGTGCGCTCTTGGTATTCATGCATTGGTATATATGCCTACTTTCTTATATGCTTTAGTCAAACATACTTGCTGACTGTGTTGGTACCACCAGTATCTTGATCATGGGTCCGATGTTTGTGGGCAGTGTCTCTGCAAAGCTCAGCACCTTGATGTCCTTTTCTTTTGCCATGTTCAGGAAGTTCTCATTCAGGTTGCGTAGTGTTGGTGAGTCTAAATACACATGGATGATTACTCAGTCAAAAATGAAATATTGCTGTGACATAATCAGTGTCTCTGGCCACAGAATTCATTCAACCTGCTTACCTTTACAAAGTTCCTTGACTTCAATAGAGGGGAAGAGGAGGTATCTGACGTTGACCGAGTACTCTGCCATGAAGGTGCCATAGTGAGGAACACTATAGAACAAAATGCCCTTGGTGTTCTTTAAAATTCTGTGCATATCTGGATCTTCCACAGCATCCAGCAGCATCTTCTTCACAAGCAACCCTGAAGGGGAGGTACAACACAAAGGGATACAGACTCACTAATCTACACTTACTAACAAGCCAAATGTAACATCATATGGGTGCAGGTTAGAAATAGGACCAAGTCAAATGTTTTCATATTACGGTTAAGAGACTAAAGGAAAAATCAGAAGTATTTAAGAAAGAAAATTTGTGCCAAACCTCCCATACTGTGAGCCACCCAGACCAGAGGCCTCTCTCCAACACCTGCCTGCTTTAGCTTATTCAGTAGCTCTCGACTTCTGTAGGCCAAAGATTTCCTTAAGAGACAAAAGCAAGGTATGAACTAACATTTTACTCACTTCAAGTTTATAATGATGACTAGAACATAAAGAATAAATTATTTTATGCCACTGGAATTGGAAATATATAGATACATGATAAACAACATGAATTTTATCAATTAGATTACAGAATAGACATAATGTTACTCATGATTGCACAGCCCTACAATGTTCTGCTGTTTAAACAAAGCAGGAGAACTAAGACACCTCACCTCTGATTCTCAGCAGGACACTTGGCCATCCAGTCACTGAGGTGACTGTCATACTCCACTGACAGCACTCTCAGATTTGGACAGTCAGCAGCTAGCCATGACTGAGAAGAAAAAAATAACAGATAATACTCAAAAAGATAAATCAAAATCTGCACAAGCCCTAACATTTGAGCCAATGATTCACTATTGATTCTCCTCTTGTCAAAATCAATTTCTTTAATTATTTGGGGAAAAGAGTGCAATAGAATTTCATGAAGATTCAAAATATTCAGCGGTAATCACACCTTTGGCCAGCACTCTGAGTAATCATCCTCGCTCTCTGCCTCCTTCTCCTCCTCTAATGTATTACGGTCTTTCTGCCTCCATGTCTTAAAAGCTGCACCCAAAATCCCATGGATGAAGAGTACATCTGCCTTGATTGGCTGGCTAGAAATGAAAGAGGTACTGTAAGTGTTGGTTTACATTTAAATTGAATTAAACTAATTCATTATCAAAATTAAGTGAAAATAGAAACTGCTTTCCTACTTGTTACGTGTTTGTGGGTGGAGGATATAAACACCATCCTGATATTTCTCCCTCACTGCCTCTCTGTCCAGGTTGGCCAAAGCCCGAGCTGCATGAGACGCCTGCATGACATGGGGCGATTGCATCATCTGAGCCAGGACAGATACCCAGCCTAAAGGTATCACAAAGGTAAGGAAGAGAAAAAAAAGATGCATGTATGCATTACTAAGTTTTTTTTTGTCCACAGTGAACAGAAATAGGATATCAACTAAACCCAAAAAGATTTTTTTATGTGGCTGTTTGAGAGGTGGGTGAAATGGGTCCACTTTCTTGTTGTGTCCTAGCCACCCCTAGATGGGTCATAACAACCCTTTAAGAATCTTCACTCCCTGGAATAATCTTACACGTTAAAGACTCACCAGACTGAGCTATCGCCTGATGAACACTCTCATTAAGTGCCAAATTTCCTATAATACGAACAATATTCCTCTGAATCTTCATGGAGTCTCTACGGAGCTGATAAACCCTCTGGAGGAGCTGGAGACCACCACTGGCAACTATGTAGTCACAGTGGCTTTGGACCTGCAGATGAGATTTTCACTACATTCAATCACCAGATCAACCACATGGGTAAGTCAAATTCATTGTTATTCAGGTTTTGATCAAATCAGCTATTGTAATAATGACGTCAGTTGTTTTTAGTGTATGGTATCAAATAATAGTGTTCTCAGTGCTACCCCTTGCATGTGGAAAAATGTCCTGCCATAGTTACCTTTGAGTGCTGCACCAGTGCCTGTAAACAGAAGGACTCCACCTTCTCAGAGGGAACAGAAGTGAGACTCTGAGCGTATGGCAGCCCATTACCGCCAAAACACCACAATCCACCCTACAACAAAAAAAATGGATTTCACAAATGTCAAAGTTCAAAGTATAAATCATCAAATTTGATGACTTCTACATAGAAATGCATGTCTGCATCTCTCTCCTCATCTCAGTTACCCGTTGTGCTGCCAAGGACTGGGTACTTTCTCTGAGGGCCAGTGAGGTAAAGTACTGAACACATTTGTCCACCTCAGACTGAGGCAGAGATCCTAAGAGCTGCCTCAGTCCATCTTCTGCCGACAAACCCTGTGAAGAAATTCAAAAATCTTCATTACTGTCTTATCTATGTGATAATTCAAAGTATTAGTGTAGATGAATTGCCGACATTTCTTTCATAATGACAGTTTGCATGTGAGAGCTCATTCCTTCATTTATAGTTTGAGACAAACAATGTTTCACAAGCAACAGATATGTGAAGGTGTTTTGTGTGAGAAAATATTCCACTTACATCCTCAGGGTCAGGTAATGCAGGTGAGGGGAGGAAGAATCGAAGGTCCACCTGAGGAGTCCGGGCCAGACCCACTGCTGTTCTGTGGTCTATAACTTGAGCTGCTGTCTGGTACTGGTAGTCTGCATTATTGGTAACATTTGTGAAGTAATCCAAACTACTTTCATCATTTTCATTGTACTTTAAAGGGGATTTAGAATGCATGTATATGTTTTGTAATTTTACCATGCCACTGGTGATTGTCTGCAAGCTCCTGCACCGCCTGGAGTCGAATGGCTTTATTAGCTGATTGTGTTCTCTTCAGTAAGACCCATAACGCCACCTCATGCGGGTCTGCGTCCACATGACTAAAGTGCTCTACAAAAACAGAGACAAAACTGACTTTATTTTCCAAGAACCACACAAAGTGGACGAAAGATATTACGAATACACCGTAATGACATTGCTGTTTTACAGTGCTAATCTATAAAACCCAATTCCACTGAAGTTGGGAAATTGTAATAAACGTAAATAAAAACAGAACATGATTTGCAAATCATTTTCAACCTATGTTCAATTGAATACACTACAAAGACAAGATATTTAATGTTCAAACTCATAAACTTTATTTATTTTTTTTTGCAAATAATAATTAACTCAGAATTTCATGGCTGTAACACGTGCCAAAGTAGTTGGGACAGGTGCATGTTTACCACTGTGTTATATCACCTTTCCTTTTAACAACACTCAATAAACGTTTGGGAACTGAGGAGACTAATCGTTGGAGCTTTAAAAAGGTGGAATTCTTTCCCATTCTTGCTTGATGTACAGCAGAATGTGGCTTGGCATTGTCTTGCAGGGGCAAGACAATGAGCAGGGGCGTCCATGAAAAAGACGTTGCTTGGATGGCAGCATATGTCGCTCCAAAACCTGTATGTACCTTTCAGCATTAATGTTGCCTTCACAGACGTGTAAGTTACCCATGCCTTGGGCACTAATGCACCCCCATACCATCACAGATGCTGGCTTTTGAACTTTGCGTCGATAACAGTCCAAACGGTTCTTTTCCTCTTTGGCCCGGAGAACACGACATCCACTATTTCCAAACACAATTTGAAATGTGGACTCATCAGACCATATAACACTTTTCCACTTTGAGTCAGTCCATCTTAGATGAGCTCGGGCCCAGAGAAGCTGGCGGTGTTTCTGGATGTAGTTGATAAATGGCTTTCGCTTTGCACAGTAGAGTTTTAACTTGCACTTAAAGATGTAGTGACGAACTGTATTTACAGACAGTGGTTTTCTGAAGTGCCCATGTGGTGACATTCTTTACACATTGATGTCGGTTTTTGATACAGTGCCGCCTGAGGGTCACGGACATTTAATATTGGTTTCCGGCCATGCCGCTTACGTGCAATGATTTCTCCAGATTCTCTGAACCTTTTGATAATATTATGGACAGTAGATGTTGAAATCCCTAAAATTCTTGCAATTGTACTTTAAGAAACGCTGTTCTTAAACTGTTCGACTATTAGCTCACGCAGTTGTTCACAAAGTGGTGAACCTCGCCCTATCCTTGCTTGTGAATGACTGAGAATTTTTGGGGAAGCTGCTCTAATACCCAATCATGGCACCCACCTGTTCCCAATTAGCCTGCTCACCTATGGGATGTTCCAAATAGGTGTTTGATGAGCATTCCTCAAATTTCTCAGTATTTTTTGCCACCTTTCCCAACTTCTTTGTCATGTGTTGCTGCCATCAAATTCTTAAGTTAATTATTATTTGCAACAAAAAAAAAACGTTCATAAGTTTGAACATTAAATATCTTGTCTTTGTAGTGTATTCAATTGAATATAGGTTGAAAAGGATTTGCAAATCATTGTGTTCAGTTATTATTTATGTTTATCACAATTTCCCAACTTCAATGGAATTGGGTTTTGTAATTACTAAGTGTCTACAACACCACCTTCAGTCTGTACAACAGTTAAGAAGGTACAAACCTTGTGGTTTCAGACCATGTGGCATCAACTTGGCTGCTATCATTATTTTAAAGTGAAAAATTAGTTTGTTAGATGTGTTACTGAAATGTAAAGTCATGAAAAGCTGTTGCATAATCATGTAATCTGAATTTGGTACATTTACAGAAAGAAAGTCATGTGTTATCAGCACAAAGTTGGAACAAGAAAAACAAAAACAAAAAAAACCCATCATACATGTGTAAATCACTCACTGAACAATATGCACGATTATACACCAACTACAAGATGCTCAAAACAGGATGTGCAAGTAAAAGGCAGGTATTTCCTCACCACTCACTCTAGATGAAAATCATTGCTCAACAAAGAATAAATATTTGAGCGCTTATTAGCAACAAAAACTTCTGCTCTAAAGCCTTAGAAACATGCAAAGCAGAACCACAGTTTCCCACTATGCTATGAAAAAGTGACTCTTAGTGAACAAGTACCACCAGGGGAATATTTTGTTCTCTCACCATCTAATGACTGCAGGAAAAGCCTTGATGACATTTCCAGAAACCGTCTTGCTGCTTTATGAAGCTCCCTCCTAGCTTTATGTGTGAGCCCTGTAAAATACACAGTGTAGGAAATAAGAATATAAGCTGACATTGAAAATTTGATAACCGTAGTATGAAAACACGACACCATGGTGACAAGAGCTATTATTACACTTGTGTAGGTTGGAAGGTGTTAATTTCTTTTATATAAGAGAACCTTGAATAGTGGAAGTCAGATCACTTAGCAGATAGATCACAACATGTAAGCAGGAGAGACATTCAAGGGGAAGGATGAAGGGATGGGAAGTAAGAATTGCAGATGTCACTGGACACCTTGATATAATCTACTTAGTGCTTATACTCAAGGAAAAAGGTTTTAAAAAGTCACTTTGCATGATTCCAACTGTCATCCTGCTGCTTTGGGGGCTAGAGAAACATCCAAAGCATGCAAACCAAATAGAAACATAAAAATGTTCTATTAGTTGAAAGCTCCTCCTAACTTTATATGTGTGCTAATATTGGTGCCCTTTGGACAAAGTGATACCTCTTTCATATTTGCTGATCTTGCCCTGTACATGTGGAAAAAACCTCCTGCTTTCATTCAATGGTCAAATTCACCACTTATCATTTCACAGAGGGCTTTTCCTCACTGTTGTGAGTTGCTGAATATGTCACATAGACTATCGCAGCAGTTAAAAACATTTCAAATGAGATTTTCAGTCATTTTGACAAAGATCTAGTTCACTTTTCTAGGTCATAAAAGTTATCCATGATTATTTCAGCCTGTTCAATAACCATAAAAACTCCTCAAGGAGTTTTATCTTGGGTTTTTTAACAATCTCATGATACTGCCTGACTTTGTTTTGCATAAACAGCATTTTTTACCTGCAGTCAGGTTATCCTTTTCATCTGAGGGAGTGGCTCTCAGGTAAATGTAAGACTTGTACTTCTCCTGAAGTATAGCACTGGTGTCAATGGTCACAGCCTTGTCCAAGGCCACCACTTCATAAGTGATAAATAAACAGCCCCTGCAGAAAGGTAACAAATATGCTGCAGTATGTATAGGGATACGGTGCAGTGGTCATAAGTGGCCATTGAAGGTATAGATTAAAATATGTATATGGATGATTAAACTTACCCAAAGATGACTGCACTAGTTACTTTGGCAACCTTCCCTAAGACCCAGCAAAAAATAAATCATTTAATGAATACCGTTCAGATAAAGGAATTGAGGATGCTTCAACAAAGACCTATTTCAATCCATGGTTTCTAAGTACTTAAGTCTGTGTGAATGATTACAAAGACTCTGGTCCATCAGTCATCATTTACATACTATTAAAATTGCAGTAACGTGGTTTAATGTGATCAGATCCTTTCCACCCCTGCCAGAAAACTTACTGAGATCTTTCCACTGAAGCACCTTTTTGACACCAGACGGCCCAGCTGAGCTCAGTCTCCGACAGCGGATCATGCGAAGAGCTGCCACAGACATCCTCCGCCTGCATACAAGATAACAAGCAATATGATAACTTTTACAACAAAGTTAATCAGGCGTCCAAAAAAGCCTTTTATTGTTATTTTGACCATCTTCACTGACACAATACAATCACACATGCGGTCACTGAGCATCTTTTATACGCAGCTCGCATCGTTTTTGCTGACACTCGTGAGTCACATCGTATACTCTCAATATCACTTACTCTGAGCTACCATAATTTACGACAATATCCCTAACCTACAACCACATAACTTTAAAACTCAGTCACAAAATTCCACAAAATCTAACTTGACAACTGTGAGCTAACATAGCTGCGGTGTCTGTCACTTCATCTCGCCAGCCTGACTAACCCCTTTCTATTACTTCTTGTAGCACATTAACAAACTTAATGATTAAAAAACTTACATTAACACAAACACTTGAGTTTACCTGTCCCCAGCTACAGCGACCGAGAGCTAGCACAAACTTACTCCAGATTTAGCTTTTGGCTAACATCTCACTCTGAGGGCTAACAGACAGCTTAAAACCTGCACCTATACACTACCAGGCTATCTGTGCGAGCTAACAGTTTAACCTCAAATTGCCTTAATAATTGGGTGACCCAAGGACTACGATGTTCTCCCTGATTTGACACTGTAGCGCCCGGTGTCCATAAAAACCATATGATATCTACGATAAACACCATAGACATAATAAAGAATAGACGCTGCATCGACCGCAACTTCCTATTGGCGTTGACGTGCAACGGAGCCGCCATCTTGGTATAGTCTTCTTCTTCTTGTTCTTCTTCTTCTTCTTCTTCTTCTTCTTCTTCTTGTTCTTCTTCTTCTTCTTCTTCTTCTTCTTCTTCTTCTTCTTCTTCTTCTTCTGTTTGGTTTTATGGCAGTTTACTCCTTAGTGTCTGGAGCATTACCGCCACCTACTGAGTCTACGGTAGAACAGGAGATTAGGCAGTTACAGACTAAAACCTTTTAGTGACGGAGAGTCCTAAATCCTTTGTATTAACCTTGTATCCCGCACAAAATCCATCAGTCGCCCCAGCCTTGCCCTATTGTCCACTTTTAACAAGTTTTCTAATTTAAATGATTCTTTTTCTTTCTCCATTTCTGTTTTCAAGGTCTTCCTCTCTTCTTCGTATCGCACACATTCCATCAGCACATGCTGCACTGATTCCGTTACCCCACACTGTTGACATTTTCCATCTGTGTGTTTACCTATTTTATTCAATGTTCCATTTAACCCTGTATGACCGATCCTTAACCGTGTTAATGTTGTTTCTTCCTTCCGGTTCCTTCCAATCCTTCTTCCCTCTCCCACCTGTCTCTGTATTGAAAACAAATGTCTGCCCGTTTCTACCGATTCCCAATATTCTTGCCACTGTTCCCGACTGTATTTTTCTATGAGTGCCTTTTCTTCTGCTTTACTTAACCTGACTTGTAGGTCTATGTCCTGTTGTCTTAACGACTGCTTTGCCAACCTATCCGCCTCTTAATTTCCCTCTATTCCCACGTGGGCAGGAACCCACACAAAACTCACACCCAGCCCTCTTTCCCAGATTTCATACAGGTTACTGTGTACCTCATATATAAGATCTAGTCTACAAGATTTCATGGTTTGTAGGCTTGAAAGAGCCGCCCAGCTGTCTGATGCTATGACTGATTTGTTCTTCCTTTGAGCTTTTATCCACTGTAATGCCATTATTATTGCTGCTATCTCTACTGCATACACTGATACATAATCTGAACACCTCTGCTTTATTTTAATATTTTCGTAGGGATATACGCTGCAGCCCCAGTTCGGCCAGTATCTGGGTCTTTTGATCCACCTGTGAATACTATTTGAGTATTGCCATATCTCTCTTCCAAATATTCCAAGGCTACAAACCCAGCTGTACTTTGTCTCTTCACTGCCTTAAGAAGTTTTTTGATCTCAAAATCCACTTCTGGCATTACAAAAAGCCATGGGGGAATCCTTGAAACTGGAACCGTTTTACAGACCTGAATCCGATTTAAACCCGCCCTTTCCGCAACTTCATTCCCAATTCTACCAAAACTGGCTGCACTACTGTTTCCATATTCCCAACATTCCCTCAGGGTACTCTTCGTGGGGTGATCCTCCCTGTGCCCCTTTATATTAGTCCAGTATGCCAACATAATTTTCATTCTTCTGATTCTCAGTGGCTGTTCTCCTGTTTCAACCTGTATAGCTGCTACTGGGGAGGTTTTATATGCTCCACAACAAATTCTCAGCCCTTGTGCCTGCTGCACCTCTAATTTCTTCAAGTGAGTGTCTGCAGCTGACATATATGCTATGCACCCATAGTCTAATGCAGCTCTCATCACAGCTTGGTATATACCTAACAGTGACATTCTTGATGCTCCCCAGTCCCTTCCCGATACACATTTTAATAAATTATTCACTTTTTTACATTTGTTAACAAGCCTGTCTATATGCTGTCTCCATGTTAATTTTTCATCTAGCCACAATCCCAAAAATCTTACTTCTCCGACCTGTTCTATTTTTTGGCCATATAGATATAATTCCACTTCCTTGTCTTTTTGCAAAGCATATAGTCTGTGTCTTGCTCACTGAGAATTTAAATCCCCAGTTATCCGCCCACCGTTCCACTCTCCCAATCGCACATTGCAGTTTCTGCTGTAAATATTGTAAATTGCGCCCCCTAGTCCACAAGGCCCCATCATCTGCAAATAATGACTTCCCTACACTTGGATGGAGTTGCTCAAAGATATCATTTATCATAATATTAAACAAAGTTGGACTGCACACACTTCCTTGGGGCGTCCCATTTTCTACACTGTACTGTCTGGAGTAGTAAGTGCCTGTCCTCACCTCAATCTTCCGATCAAACAAAAAAACTCAATACCCAATTGTACATATTTCCTGTGATTCCCAATTTGTTCATTTTAATAAGGAGACCTTCCTTCCACAGCATATCATATGCCTTCTCCACATCAAAAAAGACTGCTAGAACTATTTCCTTATTAGCTTGAGCTTTCCTAATCTCTGATTCTAACACTAATACATTATACATAGTCCCTCTTCCTTTGCGAAAACCACTTTGATACGTTGACATGAGGTTTTTGCTCTCTAAATAGTAATGTAACCGTTCCATAACCATTCGCTCCATTATTTTCCCCAGCTGAGACGTTAGTGCAATGGGCCATTAACTAGCTGGGTCTGACTGATCTTTCCCTGGTTTTGGTATAGGAACTATAACTGACTCTTTCCACTTGGTTGGGATTTTACCTGACTCCCACACTTTATTATATAGGTTTAATACAATTTTAAGGGCTCTGTCACTCATCTGTGCCAACATTCCATAACATATTCCATCCTTACCTGGTGTCATCTGTTTTGCTTTAGCTATTGCTCTCTTTATTTCAAACATACTAAATGGCACATTAATTCCCTCCCTAGATATTGTTTTTTTACCCCTAATACCCTTGTTTTTTCCTATCATCATTTCTCTGTTACTTTTAGCATTCAGAGTTAGGTTTGCAGAACTATGCACCTTGACAAATGCCTCTGCAAGAACCTCCGCTCTGTCATTCCCCACTACCACTTGGTTATCGACCTGTAGCCCTGGGATTTCATGATTTGTTTTAATTCCACTCATTTTCCTAATCATTCCCCATATCTCTGTCAATTTTGTTTCTCGTCCTATCTTATTACAATACTGTCTCCAGGATGTCCTCTTAGCTTGGCGCACAACTCTGCGCACTACTGCCTGTGCTCTCTTGTACTTTGTCAATGACTCCAGTGTGTGATGTCTTTTTAAATTCCTAAATGCTCTATTTCTTTCCTTGATTGCTCTGCTACAGTCCTCATTCCACCATGGCACGCTCTTCCTTGTTCTCTTTCCCTTTACTTGCGGAATTGATCTTTCTGCTGCTACTCTTATTGCTCCCACCACTCTCTCATTAAATTCCTCACTCGTTATACTTTCCTCATCTATTTCCCTCAATGTACTTTCAGTGATGTCCCGGAATCTTTCCCAATTAGCACTTTCTAACTTCCACTTTGGCGGTCTTTCCTCGCTATCCTGTATTGGGCTAACTCCTATTCTGCAGATTATTGGATAGTGATCACTCCCCATAGTTGTATATTGTAGTACTTCCCATGTACTAATTCCTGCCATCCCAGCCGACATTAGAGTGAGATCTATTGCACTTTCAGTATTTCTCGAGGTGTTGTATCGAGTGCCCCGGCCGTCATTAACACATACCATCTCACAGTCATCTATGAATTCTATTATTATCTTCCCATTGAAATCTGTAGTCATGCTCCCCCACACAGTATTGTGTGCGTTAAAATCTCCGCACCATACTACCCTCCCCGCCACCTGTCCACCTGCTTCATTAAGTACCTCCCTGGACAGTCTATTCCCTGGATTATAATAATTTATTATTGTCACATTATTATTTTCTGTCCATATTCGTATTACTATTGACTCATGTTCATCACTTGCTTTTTCCAACCTATAATTCACTCCTCTTTTAATGAATGTGGCCACTCCTCCCCCGCTTCTACATTCTCTGTCATTTCTTACTGACGTGTACCCGTTTAATGTGAAATCCCACTGTGACTTTAGCCATGTCTCTTGAATACATATTATTTGCGGCTTTTCACACCTTTCTTCGATAAATTTCTTAAATTCTTGACCATTAGCAATAAGACTTCTAGCATTCCACTGTAGAATAGCTAGGACCATGAGGAGTTTCCACCCCATGTCTGCGAATCAAACATTTCTCCAGCTAATGTTTCTTGTACCTTTTCACAACTAAGCCCCTTGATGTCAAGGTACTTCTCTGCAGCCTTGATAATGATCTTGATCTTCTCCGTTTTGCTGTTTGTTTGCGCTGAGCAATTTATCACTTCTACCATGAATAATACAAAGTCATTCTTACTCACTGTAAGTGTATTTTCTTTTGCTTTAGACCCACTAGCTTCAACTCTGTTGCTGGCGTCAGCCCTCACCATTTTTGCTGGATCAATATGGCTCGCCCCCACTTTCTTCGCTGCTTCTGCATAGGATATTCCCATCGATGTTTTTACTTTTTGAATTTCTGCCGCCTTCTTGCCTGCTTCACAACCTCAATACGCCGAGGTGTGCTCCCCCCCGCAGTTGCAGCATTTTATCTTAGCCCCTTCTTGGCATTTACCATATTCATGATCCCCCGCACATCTCCCACATTTCTGTTTACCCCTGCAGACCGCTGCAACATGTCCATATTTCTGGCACTTGAAGCACCTAAGCGGTGGGGGGATAAATGGCCTTACTTCATAGCACATGTATCCGATGTATACTTTATCTGGCAGCTTTGGTTCCTCAAACCTGATTTTGACAGAGAGACTGTCCGTCTTCTCTCCGTTTCTGTTTGTTTTTAGTCTCTGCACTTCCAGCACTCTTGCCCCCTCTATATTATCTCTGATCTCATCACAGGTAATAGCCGTGGGAATATTTGATATAACCCCCACAGCCACTTTCCTCACTTCTGGCATCGAGCACACTACAGACTTTCCCTCCATTCTACTCATTCTTATTGCTTTTCCTTGCTGTGCCCCATCCCTACACAGGACCAGCAATGCCCCACTTCGCAGAACTTTCACCCTTTTTACTTCCCCAAAAACTTTATGGATGGCTTTTGTCAGCTTAACTGGGCTCCACTCACCAAACGATTGTCCTTCCTGAGTCATTCTAATGATTACTTTGTATTCCTCAATTTGCTTTGGCCTTGCACTTTGCTCCCCTTCACTGGTCGAAACCGATGAATTATAATCCCCTCTCCTTGCTGCCTCCTTTGCTACTTTCTTCCGTTTTTTCCTGTTCAGACACTGTTCACCTGCAATATTCCAAACTCCCTCCTCCATCTCACTTCCTACTGCGTCACTTCCCTCTGCCATCTCTCCGTCCTCATCTTGGTAAATGCTGTGTCCGAATTGCCCGCTCGGATACTACATGCTACTGCTACATGCTACTGCTAGATCCTACTCCTACATACTAAACACGTTGGCCCAATTCGGACACACTAGATGAGTGGTGGGGAAAGACGGCCCCCGCAGGCAGAAAGTAGGTACTGCGCCCGTGCAGACAGTGGTAACTGAAGCCCCTCATCTGCTGGCCTGGCTGTAGTACTGCAGCTGTGCAGTTTAATGATGGAATAAGTGAGCTGTACTTCCATGATGTCGCCACATATTTGCTCATAAAATGATTACTTGGGCAAATATGACACCATGACATGACAAAGAGATACAACCGCACATTTTTTAGAACAGTGTGTGAAGTTACATGAAACCGCCATGGTGCGCGCTGCTGTGGCTAGCCGGCGTTCGCGACGCATCTATGCTGGTGGCGCTAGCATCACATGCGCTTCTACAACTTTTAAGAGGACGAAAAAGAAGCCCGCAGTGCATTTTGGGTCAGTAGCATGCCCGTAGGATGCACCGCGACCAACCTACAATGTGGGCGTGTCTAGTATCTGAAGTAGTATCTGAAGTAGCATGCTACTCGCTCCGGTGGCCAATTCGGACATGCTAGATACTACTTCGACTACTACTTCGACTACTACTTGGCAATTCGGACGCAGCTATAGTCAACCGCTCCGCTTCTTCTTCTTCTTTGTTGTTTAACAACAGCTTGCATCCATTAGTTGCATTGCTGCCTCCTGCTGGATCTTCACAGCACTACATAGTTATATCCTTTGCATCAATCTTGTGGTGCTTAAAAACTCAAACAGCCAGTATTTGCCTCTCCCCCTCCTCCCCGCCTCCAAGAGAGCTGCAACTGTCATCTCCTCAAGCCCCACTTCCCGCACTTTTTCCATCAGTATCTGCCTGTCCCGGTTGTAACAACTACAAGAAATAAAAACATGTTGCACCGTCTCTGACTCCTGGCATACGGAGAACAATCCGTCTGGGTGTTTTCCAATTAAAAACAGTGAACTATTCAACTGTGTGTGACCTAACTTCAACCTAGAAAATGTGACTTCCTCCTTCCTCCTCCACCCACCCCCTTTACCGACACCCATAGAATTGGAGACAACTCCAGTTATTGAAAATAGATGTCTTCCTTTATTCTCCCTCTCCCATCGATGTTGCCACTGTTGAATTATCTTCTCATACACCACACTTTTCCCCTCAGACTTTGACAGGTTTAGTTTGACATCCACCAGCTCTCGTTTTACGACTTCCTTCGCCAGCCTGTCCACCCTCTCATTTGCCCCAATCCCAACATGTGCAGGCACCCACATAAACGAAACCCTCACCCCCCTCCTAGCCACATCTCTAAGCGCCAGCAGCACCTCATATACAAGGTCCTGCCGGCCCCTAGCTGAGCCCATCCCGATGCTTTTGACTGCAGACATCGAGTCGCTGCACACCAGCACTTCACAGTCCTCAAGCTGACCAGCCCATTGCACCGCCATTAAAATTGCAAAAAACTCGACTGTAAAAACACTGAGGGAATTTCACGTCCTCCTACACACCTGCACATTCATTCCACACACTAAAAAGGCTGCCCCGGTACCACCTGTGGCTTGATCTTTCGACCCATCCGTGAACATTATCACATGACTCCTGTACTTCTCCTCCACCCGGTCCTGAAACTGACAGATCACATCAGCCTCTCCAGTCCTTGATCTTGCCCCCAGTAGCTCCAGGTCCACATTTGGGGTCTCTAACAGTCAAAGAGGCATCACAGGCCACATCATCGCCGGGCAGAATGTTTCTCTATATATTCCAGTGTCCTGTGTCACTTCCTCCCCAGTCCATCCAAAGCTTCGCATCCTCCCCGCTCCCCTTTCCCAGGTCTCTTGAAAAGCTACCTTAGCCGGGTGCTCATCCCCCTGTCCTATCAAATTGACCCAGTAGTTGGCCTGAAGCTGCTTCCTTCTCAGGTCAAGTGGCATTTCCCCTGTCTGAACCTGAAGAGAGCACACTAGGGACGAGCACACTGGGGACGAGCGCACAGCCCCCAGACAAATCCTGAGCGGCATAGCTTGGAGCCTATTGTTGGGTCTAAAACCTGCCCGAATACCTGAAAACATATAAAGAAGAGAAAGACAATGGTATATGCTCGAGGAGAATGGACAGAGATAGCATCAGGTAAAATCTCAAAACCACTCTGAAGGTGGTTTTCTGTCCTCCCTCTTTTATTTAGGGTTGTCCCTGGTTACACAATGTTTCTAAAGGGTGGGGGGAAAGTATGTGCAGCAACGTAAGCATTCTCATAAAACATAATAATGAACAACTGTGAATATGTGAAGGTCAAGGCGACATTGTTGCATCAAACGAGCTCCTTCTGATAAGAGCGGATCCTCCTCATTACTTCCCACGATTCACAGTGGAGGATACATCACCCACACATACACACACCTGCTGATAGGAAAAGACAAGGTCACAGAAACATGAAGAAACATTTATGTGCTGTGTAATAATCCTAATTGGAGAGAGAAGTTAGAAAACACTCTTATATGATAAAAAAAACACTCTTATATGATGTGTAACAAGAGGTCAAAACAGTTTATACTTGTAGTAAACTCTTTCATAAGAATATGAGGAATAATGATAACTTCTATATACATTTATGCACATTATTCTAACACCTATCTAGTCGAGCCAGAACTGATTTTGAGGCTGATCCATACGCCAGACTGCCATATTCGACTCTTGATCTTATTAGATGCCCATAAATCTGTCTCAGGGACTCCGAGCTTGCTCCCCACCCCGACCCAGCCAGGCATCTCATTACATTTAGTACTTTCTTTCCTTTATCCATTATTATAGTCACATGGTCCCTCCATGTAAGACGATTGTCAAAGTTACACCCAAAAATTTAAAAGATTTAACCCTCTCAAGCCTTTTACCGTATAGCTCCATTTTATCCCCCCCCATTAATCTTTTTCCTGGAGAAGATCATGACCTTAGTTTTTTCCACTGAGAATCTAAATCCCCATTTCCTCCCCCAGCCTTCCACTTGGGATAATGCGTCCTGGACTGCCTTTACAGTATGGTTCATGTTTTTCCCCCTTTTCCACAGGCCACCATCATCTGCAAACAGTGATTTCCCAATTCCCGGATGCACAGCCACAAAACTATCATTAATCATTATGTTGAAAAGGAGGGGACTGATAACACTCCCCTGAGGGGTTCCATTTTCTACATGACACTTCCTGGATAAGTCTGATCCTATCTTAACCTGGATGCTTCTGTTGTTTAAAAAGTCCATGACCCAATTAAACACACGCCCTCCCACCCCCATCAAATGCATCTTAATTAAAAGACCTTCTACCCACAGCATGTCATATGCCTTTTCAACATCTAAAAACACAGCCACCACAGATTCTTTCATCACCTGGGCTTTCCTTATTTCATCCTTTAAACACAGCACTGAATCAGAGGTGCTTCTCCCTACCCTGAATCCATTCTGATAGTTTGCCACCAGTCCCCTCTCCTCCACCAGGTGCATCAGCCTTCCGTTGACAAGCCTCTCCATCAGCTTCCCCACATGGGAAGTCAAGGCTATAGGCCTATAACTTGAAGGGTTACTTGCATCCTTCCCCGGTTTCCTAATGGGAATGATCGTTGCCTCCTTCCATCCTGACGGGATCAGACCCTCCTCCCAGACCCTATTATAAAGATGGAGCAGCACTCTCAACCCCGCCTCCCTTAGGTGTCTCAACATGGCATAGCAGACACCATCCTTCCCTGGAGCGGAGTCCTTGCAACTCGCCAGTGCCCTCCTCAGCTCCCCCATTGTAAACGGAACGTTGTACTTATCATCTACATTGCCCTTCCTCTGGACAACTCCAACATGTATACTTTTGGTTTCCTCTCTACACCTCCTCTCTTCAGCTGATAGATTGTCAGAGCTATGAACCTTGCTGAGAGCATTCACCATCATTTCTGCCTTCTCCTCATTTGTAATGGCTGATTCATCTCCATCAGATAGAATCGGATAGCCCCACGCCCGTCTATCCCCCCCCATCTTCCGTATCATACCCCAAATCTCTGTTACCGTGGTTGTGTGCCCAATAGTGTTACAGTATCCCCTCCAGTAAGTCCTTTTTGTTTCCCTTATGGTCCTCCTGACCACTGCCTGTTGTCTCTTATACTCAATCATATGCTGATAATTATGAGTCCTCTTCAGCACTTTAAAAGCTCTATTTCTATTCTTAATCGCCTCTCTGCATTTCTCATCCCACCACGGACCGCTTTCTTCTTGAGGTTCCCTGTTCTTTTGGGTATCGCTAGTTCTGCCGCCATTAGTATACCTTCTCTAACCCGTTTCTCATATTCTTCACAATCCGTGTCATCTTGCCCCCCCCCCCCCGAGGTACACATCGCTCATTATCCCAAATATCTTCCAGTCTGCCTTCCTGAGTATCCACCCCCCTCTGGATCCCCCATTATGCACTACCATCTCCACTTCCAGTCGACAAATAATTGGATAATGATCACTCCCTATGGTCCCACTAGTAAAAACATCCCACTCACATTATGGTTAGGTCTAGCACCGATTCTCTTCCCGTTCTCACATCCACCCTTGTCTTCTTCCCATCATTTACACATACCAGGTTCCTCTCACTCAGCATCTCCTCAATTACCTCTCCATTGCTATCCGTTCTACCCCCCCCCCCCAATAGTGTACTATGGGCATTAAAATCCCCACACCATGTAACACTATCCCCATCTTGACCCTCCACCCTCTCAAGCTCTTCCAGTGTTGTAGAAAGTCCAGCATAAAAAATGCACAGGAGACAGGATGAGATCTGAAGAACAGCCTGGGGCATCTTTAATAGTACAGATGTAGAAATCAGTACAGATGACAGAGTCTCGACCAAGACCAAAGGAAGCCTCCCTAGCTTTTCTTCTACTCCCTTTTATCCTGTGTGTGTGTGTGTGTGTGTGTGTGTGTGTGTGTGTGTGTTCTCCAGAAGGCCCCTCGTGATGACATGTCTGCCCCACGACACTTTGTTTAGGTTTGTCTTGACCCTGGCAGAGATTACATGTTTCAACAGACAGATAGTTTGGTCTCCTGCAAGACAGCCTTGCTTACAATCTCATGGTCGTGGGGCTGCAGGAACAGGCCAACCTAGATTAGTTGTGGCTTCTTACTAAAAGATAATTACTCTATATTTCTTAACCTAAATGTATGAAGAGATTCCCCTACACCAGTCTCATCTGCCGACATGGATAATAATAATAATAATAATAATTTTATTTATATAGCACCTTTAAAAACAGAAGTTTACAAAGTGCTTAGACAACAGTTGCAAGCACAGAACATCAGCACATGAAAATAAAAACACATTAAAACAAAAGCTCAGTTAAAAACAGGCCTCTGAATTGTAGGCCTGTTTCACTTTTCGTAAGAAACCCAGGCAATACAAGAACCCTATAAAATAAATGGGACCATGAGGACCAAAATAAAAACATAAAATGAAATAGAAAAGGAGGGCAGGAAACAGGCTAGTAAGTATAAAAGAGGATATTAATAATAATAATAAAATCATAATAAAATAATAATGATGGTAATATAAATGATAAAGTGGAATTAAATATATATATATACATATATATATATATATATATATATATATATATATATATAATAAAATAAAGGAAAATACAAAACATTAAAATCAATGAAGGACCTGAGAGATAAAATAAGAAAAGATTATAAGTAAAACAAAGGCTAAAAAGGCAGTAAGTCTAAATAAGAAAGAGGTAAAAGAGGTAAAAGAAAAAGGAGAAAAAGAAAAAAGGTAAAAGACGATAAAAGATGAAAGATGGCATCACATAAAGGCAAGTCTGTAAAAGTGAGTTTTTAAAATTGATTTAAAAGAAGCGACTGTCTCTGCACGCCGTATCTCCTCTGGCAGGTCGTTCCAAAGTCGAGGAGCTCTGATGGAGAAAGCTCTATCACCTTTAGTCTTGAGCCTCGACTTTGGAATGACTAGGAGGCCTTCGCCAGAGGATCTGAGGCTGCGAGTTGGCTCATAAGGTATTAAAAGCTCTGAAATGTAGCTCGGAGTAAGTCCTTTGAGCGCTTTAAAAGTAATCAATATATATATATATATATATATATATATAATAAAATAAAGGAAAATACAAAACATTAAAATCAATGAAGGACCTGAGAGATAAAATAAGAAAAGATTATAAGTAAAACAAAGGCTAAAAAGGCAGTAAGTCTAAATAAGAAAGAGGTAAAAGAGGTAAAAGAAAAAGGAGAAAAAGAAAAAAGGTAAAAGACGATAAAAGATGAAAGATGGCATCACATAAAGGCAAGTCTGTAAAAGTGAGTTTTTAAAAGTGATTTAAAAGAAGCGACTGTCTCTGCACGCCGTATCTCCTCTGGCAGGTCGTTCCAAAGTCGAGGAGCTCTGATGGAGAAAGCTCTATCACCTTTAGTCTTGAGCCTCGACTTTGGAATGACTAGGAGGCCTTCGCCAGAGGATCTGAGGCTGCGAGTTGGCTCATAAGGTATTAAAAGCTCTGAAATGTAGCTCGGAGTAAGTCCTTTGAGCGCTTTAAAAGTAATCAATAAAATCTTAAAATCAATTCTAAAGCTGACAGGAAGCCAGTGAAGGGAGGCTAAAATTGGGGTGATGTGATGCCGTCGACTAAAACCAGTTAAAAGCCTAGTTGCTGCATTCTGAACTAGTTGGAGGCGAGAGAGTGATTTCTTGTTTAAACCAGGGAGGAGAGAGTTACAATAGTCCAGTCTTGAGAAAATGAAGGCGTGGATTATCTTTTCGAGATCTGGTGGGGTGAGTATTTGTTTAATCTTTGAAATGGAGCGCAGGTGAAGGAAACAGGACTGGACAATCTTGTTGATATGGGTGGAGAAGGTGAGGTCTGAATCGAAGGTTACTCCCAGATTTCTGGCTGTTGGTTTGATGATTACTGAATGTGGACCAAGACAAGACTGAATGAGGGGGGAGTTTTGTATGTTACAGAGAATTATTTCAGATTTTGAATAGTTTAGCTGAAGGAAATTTTGTGCCATCCAACAGTTAATGTCACTTAGACAGTCCATGACAGCAGCTAGGCCTCTTGGGTCCTCAGGTCTCAAAGGAAGGTATATCTGTGTGTCGTCTGCATAGCAGTGAAAGGAGACTTTGTGGCGCTGAATTAATTGGCCGAGGGGCAGCATGTAGATAGAAAATAAAATTGGACCTAAAACTGAACCTTGCGGAACACCACAGGCGATAGCAGAAGTAGAGGAGGTGTGATTGCCTATGGTGACCGCAAAGGTTCGTTCTAAAAGATACGACTGAAACCAGCCAAGTGCAGTGCCCCTGATACCCACCCAGTTTTTAAGACGTTCAATTAAAATAGTATGATCAACTGTATCAAAAGCTGCACTGAGATCTAAAAGAATTAAAATTGAGCCCTCCCCTCTATCTGCTGCTAAAAGAAGGTCATTGGTCACACGGAGGAGGGCAGTCTCAGTGCTGTGACCTGCTCTAAAACCAGACTGAAATTTCTCAAAGAGGTTGTTTTCAGACATAAAACCTAAAAGCTGTTTAGAAACCACCTTCTCTAAAAGTTTGGATAAAAATGGAAGTTTTGAAATTGGTCTAAAATTGTTAAAATCAGAGGGGTCAAGGTTTGGCTTCTTTAAAAGGGGTTGGACCACAGCGTGTTTAAAAGCAGAGGGAAATACTCCCTCCACTAGAGAGCTATTAATGATGGATAAAATGCTGGGCCCAACCACGTTAAAAACCTCTTTGAGAAATCTGGTGGGGATAGAATCAAGACTGCACGTAGCTGGTTTCATTTTGGCTAAAATATCAGATAAAATTTTTAAGGACACCGGCTCAAAACTACTAAAAAAGTGCTTAACTTCCCGACTTGAGGGTACAGGGAGACTGGGAGGGGTGATTTGATGTCTGATGTCCATAACCTTGTTAATAAAATGAATTAAAAACTTCTTGCAGGTTTCTTGAGAAGCATCAGTAAAATAAGAGGGGGAAGGGTTGGAAAGAGACTCTAAAACCTTGAATAAAACTCTGGGGTTTGAATAATTAGCTAAAATCAAATTTGAGTAAAATGCTGCCCTGATTATAGCTGCTGATTATAGTAGTTTATCAATACTATTTTCCTCCTATCTGCCCATATTTCTACTACCACGTATTCCTGCTCCTTGCCCAGACCCACTACTCTGTACGGAACCCCCCTTCTGATAAATGTTGCACATCCCCCACCACTTCCCTGAGTCCTGTCCCGCCTGACAGTGACATAGTCCATCAGAACAAAGTCCAGGTTAGGCCTTAGCCATGTTTCCTGAACACAGATCACGTCTGGCTTCTCTCTTCTATTGGCAATTGTTTAAAATCTTGACCGTTGGCTATCAAACTTCTTGCATTCCATTGTAAAGGTCAGTAGCGGTTCTAGGCACGGGCGAACAGGGCAGCCGCCCGGGGCGGCATTTGTGTCATGACTCATGGGGGGCGGCACGAGCACTTCCAAAAAAATAAAATAAAAGATAATAATAAATCTTAACCGCAAAGCAGTTTTGTATTAACTCTTGTTGTCAAATTGGCGCCCCCCCGCTGCTGTAAGCGCCCCTGCTTGCTCCGAAGGTGCTGCACAGAGGCTGACAGACTGTGTGAGATGAGGCAGGGAGAGAGTCGCGGGGGGACAGCTCTGCTCTGTGTACGCATGTCAGCATATCAGCGGGAGCGCGGATACGTCATTTTGTAGTTTTTTAATCATTTCTGGAGTCGCGGTGAATGAAATCACCGTACCCATCTGCCTTTGATAGGCGAATAAAGCGCTCGGTTTCATGCTCGGATCTTGCTACGTCTTGCTCGCCCGGGGAGTAATTTGGTCTAGAACCGCCACTGGTAAAGGTAGCGTGATAAGTAGAATCATCCTACACTACTTCCTTCCTGGCTTAGTGGGACGCTCAGACCATCTCGTATCTCTTCCCATTTTAGATCTACCAGGCCCAAGTGTTGTACAGCTGCCTTTGCAATAATTTGGATCCTTTCAGTCTTAGATTTGACCTCTGCTGTCGCATTGATTACTCCAGCAATAAATACAACTAGTTCCTTTTTGTCCTCCCGCCTCCTCTCCTCTCTCTCCCTAACAACAGCCCGCTCTAGGCTTCCTGCATCTTCTGAGCTCCCCTCTGCCCTTCTTCTTCCTCCCCCTGCCCCCACTACCCCTCCAACCCTTCTAGCTGCTTCCGCATATGACACCTAATCCTTCACTTTAACTGTCTGGACCTCAACTTCCCTTTTCATGACCTCACAGCCCCAGTAGGCCGCGCTGTGGTTTCCCCCACAATTGCAACACTTCGGGCTCATTCCCTCTCCACATTCTCCATACTCATGTCCCCCCCACACTTGGCACACCTTTTATCCTCTTTACAACTCCTTGCCACATGCCCAAATCTCTGGCACTTGAAACATCTGAGAGGTTTCTGTGTAAACTCCCTCACCCTATACCTCAAAAACCCAAAATACACCTCTGACGGCAACTCTCTTGTGCTGAATTGCACTAGGACAGACTCAGTTTCAGTTTTGTTCACACCCTTAGTCAACCGCTTAGTGCTCTGTACAGCCTCACATCTTATTCTCAAGTTGCCCACAAGTTCCTTCATATCCATTCCCAAAGGGACCCCAGATATCACTCCTCTGCTACCCTCCCCCACTCTCACCATTTTTGCTACCACTCCTTTCCCAGCACCTAGCATTTTCTGCGCTCTCATCACCTGCTCTTCTGATGTACAGCTAAGCAACAGATTACCATCATTCAACACTCTTGCAAACTCCACCTCACCAACCTGCTTCCTAATAGACTTTGTTAATTTAACCGGATCCATGCCCCTCACCCCTCCTTCTCCTTCAAATCGTACCACAACCTTCCGTTTTTCCTCCCTCTGCTGTCTGTCCTCCACCATTCGCCTCTTCAATCCTTTATTTAATTTCCTTATTTCCCAACCCCCATCCTCCTCGTCCTCCCTCTCATCCATACTCCACACACTCCCTTCCCGTGATCCTGCCATAGGTGGAGAAAGAGCTATTGGCACGAGTACTGTCTTACCGGACCTTACAGGCCATCGGCCGGTACTCCCACACAATATTCCTTCACTCACCCTTCCCTCAACAGTCTTACTTAAGTGTTACTAACTCTATGATTTAACCAGCATGATCCTGCCTGCAAAACAAACTCAGTTTCTGCTCAAATGAAAACAAAGTCGAGAATCCGTTTCGCGTCACTTCCGCATCCAGCATCAAAGATCCCCACTCCAACCGCTCCGCTTTTTTTTTTAACACTTTACAATGTACCATTGACGCTTTACAGGGGATTAAGAAAAAAAAAACTAAAGCAAACATCAACAAGACAAACAAACAAAAAAAAAAAAATACCAGCAACAAAAAAAAAAAAAAAAAAAAAAAAAAAAAACATACAGAAAATTAAAAACCAGGTAAGAAGTAAGAGAAAAGATAAGTGGGCCAGACCATACACTGTATATAGAATGGACAGAGTCTGCCTCCTCGCTGGGTGAAGCCACTCCGAGAACAGCACCCTCTGTTGATGGGCTGCAGTATAGGTCATAAATCCCGCCTCCACCAGCAAAGTTTATGGAGCTGTGGACAAACTTTAGAAAATTATTACACAGAACATAATTTTTTCTCCCCCCTGCTTGTGATGTTGAAGTTATTAGGGGGTTCATGTTTGCTATGATTGACACCTGATACAGCCTATGGGCGTTCAGGGATTGCGTAGCTTTCCCGGGGGATACGCTGTTTGAGCTGAGCGTCATCACAGCGACTCTCTGCGACTGCGCGACGAATGCGCGCATTGCTACTGCGCAGCGCTGGTTTCAGGAAATGAAGAAAAACCCCGGAAATACCGAGAGCTTTTTGGCTTCAAATCCGTATACAGGCGGTAGGCGGAACCAAGTTGTTCATAGTATATACAGTCTATGGTCCAGACGATCAACGATCCTTTTACAATATTTGTCCAAAATGGAGTCTGTTTTAACAGAGCCTTCCTGCTCTTAAGTCCATTAATAATAGTGCAGCATTGCTTCAGTTCATTTAGAAAGTGGTCAAAGCTAGGTTTAGAGTCAGTCCATTTTTTCTTGTGTATGTGAAATTTCCCAAGAAAAATAAGTAACTGCACAAAAAAAAGATAATGTTGATGGTAATAATAATAATAATGATAATAATAATAATAATAATAATAATTTTATTTATATAGCACTTTTAAAAACAGAAGTTTACAAAGTGCTTTGACAACAGTTGCAAAGCACAGAACAAAAAAAAAATTCTCTTTCTGTTTCTCTTCAAAACAAGAATATCTTTTTCCTTTAGGAGGGTTGATTTTCCTGTTTTCCTATAATGGTAATTTTGCGCATCCCTCCAGAATATTTCAGAATACATGCAGTGATAAAACAGATGACAAATTGTTTCTTCCTCAAAACCACAGAACACACAAGAATACTCAATATCGAGATTGATATTGAGTAGGGTTTTCTCTGCTGGATATATTCTATGCATTATTTAACTGAGGGCTGAGGGCACAGTAACTGTAAGCATGAGGCTCCTTATAAATTTATTAGAACATTTATTTTTAGTAATATCAATACCCCCATGGAACGAAGCAGAATTACTTGGTAGATCTGTCGTGGAGATAATTGATCCTCTAATCAATTGCAGTACACTCCTGGGTATGGCATCAAAGACCACTGCATTTTCTTTTAAAGTAATGAGCATCCTGAATTTGTCAAGGAATTCCTCATACCTTAGTAGCTGTCCCTCAGCATTCACAAGTTGTTGAACTAAAACAATATCATTTTCAACCAATTTCTTATAATACAGTGATTTATTTTTATATTGAATATTCTTGTTATTCCAGATATAATATCTTGTTGGAGACAAGTTATGTTTGTACACCATTTTCCATGCCAGCAATGCTTGTTTGTGAAAATTGGCTAGTTTCACAGGTAATATACCAATTTTATAGTCACACTTTAACAGAAGTTCTAGACCACCAATAGAATTAAAAATGTATTTTGGGAAAGTATTCCACATATTGTCTTTTTATTGAATCAGATTACGGACGAAAGTATTATCAATCAATCAATCAATCAATCAATCAATCAATCAATCAATCAATCAATCAACTTTATTTCTAAAGCACATTTAAAAGAACCACAAGGGTAGCCAAAGTGCTGTACAATGACACATAAAACAAATAAAACAATCAAAGAACAAGATAAAGCGAGCAGAAATACATTAATGCAAAAGAATAAATAAGTATATGAATAAGCAGGCTCACGACAAGTGCTAGGATGATAAAAAACAAAAGAACACTACAATGTATCAAAAGCCAAGGAGTAAAAGTGCGTTCTTAAAAGGGATTTAAAAATGAGAAATGAGGAGGCCTGTCTAATTTTCAAGGGCAACTCATTCCAGAGCTTAGGGGCAGCAGCGGCAAATGCTCTGTCCCCTCTGAGCTCCAGCCTTGTATAGGGGACCATTAGTAACAGTTATTATTTAGTGTTTCAAAAATTATTACCTCAAGTCCGCCATCCCTTCTCGAGTAACATAAAATATCTTTCCTTAGATAATGAGATCTGTTTCTCCAAATAAAATTGAATAAAATTTTATCTAATTTTTTGCATATTACAGTAGGCATTCGCAGCGATAAGGACACATATACAGCTCAAGATATCCCCTCTGCCCTAGAAAGTAAAACTCTACTGTTCAGAGAGAGATCTCTCATCAACCACATGTCAATTTTTTTTATTTGTTCTACTATAGGGACAAAGTTTAAGTCACTTCAGACCTGGGCATATTTTTAGTGATGTAAGAAAATGACAGCAAGATAAAAATTTTCACAACTTTTTCCACCTTTAATGTGACCTATAACCTGTACAATGCAATTGAAAATTGCAATTGATATGCACACCCTTAAACTAATACTTTGTTACAGCACCTTTGGCTTTTATTACAGCACTCAGTCTTTTTGGGTAGGAGTCTATCAGCGTGGCACATCTTGATGTGGCAATATTTAGCCATTCTTCTTTGCAAAACCACTCCAAATCTGACAGATTGTGAGGGCATCTCCTATGCACAGCCCTCTTCAGACCACCCCACAAATGTTAGATGGGATTCAGGTCCGGGCTCTGGCTGGACATTCCAAAGTCTTAATCTTATTCCGGTGAAGCCATTTTTTTGTTGATTCAGATGTGTGCTTTTGGTCATTGTCGTGCTGAAAGATGAAGTTCTTCATCTTCAACTTTCTAGCAGAAGGCCGAAGGTTTTGTGCTAACACTGACTGGTATTTGGAACTGTTCATAATTCCCTCCACCCTGACTAAAGGTCCCTACACACCGGGGCCGACAAGAATATAGAACTCAAAATCACGAAATATTCGGAGGCGAATTTTGATGCGCCTGACTATACACTTCTTCTTCTTCTTCTTTTAGTTTAACGGCAGTTGGCACTCTTGTGTACAGTGCATTACCGCCCTCTTCTGACAATTCTTATACAAAACCCTGTGCACCACCCATTCCCATCTCATACACTCACACATTCATACTCCTACAGACTAAATCCTATCAATCAACCCCGTCACCCTTAAAAACTCAACTAACACTCTCACATGTGCCCTGTCCCCCATCTGTAATACTCCCTTTAGTGTAAGGTCCTGCATACCCAATTCCCTCAACTAATTTTTCATCTCTCCCCTTTCTATCTCATATCTCCTACAACCCATTAGAACATACTCCACAGACTCCTCCACCTGACATCCCTCACATAACCCATTCTGGTGTTTCCCTATCATTTTCAGTGTTTTGTTTAATGCACAATGACCTAACCTCAACCTTATCAATGCTGACCCTTCCTTTCTCTGTCCACTACCCAGCCTCCTAACTTTAACACTCTCTTGAATCTTATACAGGTGCCTTCCTCTCTTCTCACCCTCCCATTTCTTCTGCCACATTTGAATAAGCTTTTCCCATATCATACTCTTAACCTCCGCTTTACTTAACCTAACATTCAGCTCCACTGATTCCTTCCCTAATGCCTCCTTAGCCATCACGTCTGCCTTCTCATTTCCTTCCACCCCTATATGTGCTGGAACCCATAAAAATCTGATCTGGCCCCCCTGCTGTACTATTCTTGCCACTGACTGTAATATTTCGTATAATAAACCCTGACGGCTGCTTGAATGGAACGATCTAATGCTAGCTACTACTGAGGCTGAATCCGTTGTAGCGATTTGAATTTATAATAAATGTCTGAAGATTAATAATCTCAAATTATGACATTTATGCACTCGTTGAAAGGGGCACCACCCACCCTTAATGGTGGGAAAATAAAGAAAAACAAAAGTTTAATTCAGAAATCAAACATCAAGTCAATCATTAATTAATCAATCTCATATCTTGAGCAGAAATTCTCATTTCAGGGACTCCACTTCTGGAAGAACACTAACAGACAAGAACTTGGAAAAATAATGATCTGTTTATTACAGGATAAATGATGGTACAACATACATGCAATAAATGATGATAACATAATGAAGATAAATAATAATAGGTGAATAAATAAAGATTCTGAGTCAGGCTAGGAGCACTAAAGTTAATGATAGTAAGTGAATATGCGCTAACATATTAACCTACACTAACTTTGGTGTCGAGATAAACTCGGATGTGGATTTGGAGGAATCTAAGATTACCAGAATATATGGATATCTGAGTTATGAACACATGAGACAGCATCAGCCCTGTTTGGAGCTCTGGAGGTTTGCATACTTAGGTGAGACTGGTCCTTGGAGAAGATGGAGCAGGTTCCGAAGGTCCGGGGCTACCTGCGGTTCGAGCGGTTCAGCTCAGAAGGCGACTGAAGTCAGCCGAAGGATGGGCTGGGAGTTGTAGCACTCGGGCCTGAAGTAAAGCCGGCGCCTGTGGATCCTGTGGATGCTCGTTTGGACGCTTCTTTGGTCTCACTCAAAAACTCTGGCACAGAGGATGACCTGGGCCTGCTGGGTTGCGTTCAGAGGTGACTTTGAAATCACGCAGATAACTCAGGAAAACGAGGCTCGATGAGCAGAGATAACTTTCAAAAATGGCTACGCGAAATTAAAGAAAAATCAATCAAAGGCTTAATCTTGAATTGCTATGCGCACAAAAAGTTGAAGTTTCAAAACTTGAACTAAGACGATGTTAAAGAAAAATCAACGTGAATCAACACGTGGCGTAAAACTTAGAAGACTAAGAAAAAGTTCTAAGAGAAAACAAAGAAGAGGACCACAGAAGGGTGTGGACAGAAGAGCGAAAAGGGGAGAAGAGCGTAAGCAGAAGAGTGTAAGGGCAACAAGAGAGTGAGCAACCCAACGTCACTGGTTTTATCTTCTCACACTGGGAGTGTCTCTGGCGTGTGTGTGTGAGGAGAAAGAGGAGGACCTCGGATCTCTGATTATTTGATCCAACTTTTGGCTGGTAAAAGAGTCAGATCTGATACTCACTATGATTAATATCATTGAATACTTGGTTTCATGATAAATGATTTGATACTTGTCACGACCAGGCTCTTCAGCCGCGACAAAAACAACGGAAGATGCACTAGTTAACGTAAACGTAATGAATTTATTAAGAAAACAGTATAACAGCAACTTAGGTGGTGAACACAAACAAGTCATGGGGTGTGAGGATCAGTAGATCAGCTGTGTAGGTGCGTGCATGCATGAGTGAATACGGGGTGTAATGTGTGTTAGGGTGTTGGATGCGTAAAACAAAAGACAAAGCCATCCGCCCGGAGGGAAGGAGAGAGCGAACTGGTGGAGAAGGCGGGGTATTTATAGGTTGGGAGACACCGGGCCCAGGTGCTGCCAACCTCACTAACCGATCGGACCGCCCCCTGGTAACCTCCTGCTTGACAGAGGGAAAAGCACACATTAGACACCAGGGAACCGTCACACCCACCCCCACAAGAACGGGGTCCTGAAGGGAATCCCGGGATTAAACAAACCTAAGCAAACAGACCAACATAAACACAATACCCCACAGTAACACCATATCAGTGCACCCGTATCCAGTCAACTTTTTTTTTTTATTTTTAATTTTTATTTAAAGTGCTAATCTAAAAAACAACCCAAACCCAACATACATTACATTTTTACAGGCACCGTGAGCACAGTGGAACACTACAAGTCCAGGTACCAGACTGTTTCGTTGGTCCAACATTCCTTAACCCAAACTCCCCACCCCAGCAACCGGTGCACCTAGGAAGCAATTTAAGAGATTGAGAGGAGGCAAGAGTAGAACCAAAAGGGAAACAGTTAGGCACAGTCGCCACGCGGGGGAGCCCGAGACAACGCGTCTGCCACCACGTTCTCGGCCCCCTTCACATAGCGAATGTCCAGAGAGTACGACTGCAGGAACAGCGACCACCTGACCAGCCGCTGGTTGGGACACTGCAAGGAGTTAAGAAAAGTTAGAGGGTTGTGGTCAGTGTACACGATGATAGGGGCACCGCTGCCACCAACATAAACGTCGAAATGTTTTAAAGCCAAAATTAACGCAAGTGCTTCTTTTTCGATAACCGCGTAATTTAACTGACACGGGTTAAATTTCTTGGAAAAGAAACTAACAGGTTTATCGATTCCCAAATCATCCGTCTGCATGAGGACAGCTCCTGCTCCAGCGTGACTGGCATCTACATAGAGTTGAAACGGCTTGTCAAAACGCGGGGCAGACAGGACAGGAGCAGAGCAAAGCAGCTCTTTTACCTGTACGAACGCTTTGTCGCAAGCCGGAGTCCAAATATATTTCGCCTTTCCTTTCAACAGATCAGTTAATGGTGCTACGACTGTTGAAAAATTTCTACAGAACCCCCTGTAGTAGCCGACGAGACCAAGAAAGCGCATAAGTTCTTTTTTCGTTGCCGGAACGGGGAACTGTTTCACCGCCTGAACTTTAGCATCTACGGGCCGCACCTGGCCCTGCCCAACCACACGGCCCAAGTATGTAACGGTTGCTCTGGCAAACTCACACTTTGCGAAGTTAACCGTGAGCCTTGCCTCCGCCAAACGAGTGAACAGTTCCCGGATACGCTCCAGATGTTCTTCCCACGTATCCGAATACACCACTACGTCGTCTAGATAAACCGCACAGCCCTGCATGTCCCCAATGACGCGGTTCATAAGACGCTGAAAGGTAGCAGGCGCATTTCTAAGGCCAAAGGGCATCACTGTATAGGAATACAGACCGGCTGGTGTCACAAAAGAGGCTATCTCACGCGCACGCGGCGTCAAGGGCACCTGCCAATATCCCTTTAACAGATCAAATTTACTGACGAACGCTGCTGAACCAACCTGATCTATACAATCGTCCATCCTGGGAAATGGAAAAGAGTCAGGCTTGGTAACGTTGTTAACTTTACGAAAATCTGAACAGAAACGGGGCGTGTTGTCAGACTTTGGAACGAGCAAGCAGGGAGATGACCAACTGGAAGAGCAGGGTTCCGCAATCCCATTCTCCAGCATGTAATCAACCTCTGCATCCAAATGTTTACGCCGATCTGCATTTACTCGATAAAATCTTTGTTTGATGGGCGCAGCATCCCCCACATCTATGTCATGTTCAATTAAGTGAGTGCGACCGGGTGTATCACTGAAGAGGTCCGGAAAACCTCGGATCACCTGGATCAACTCTGCTCGGCGCGATTCTGTTAAATGTGGAAACAGGTTATCCAACCGGGCCATAGCCTCAGAATTTTTAAGCCGCCCATGTAACAGAGCCGAGTCAGGCATATTTAATTCGTCATCAGACTCCGAATGACTAGGATTAGAACACACCACTGGGGCCACCGCGCACACTGCATGGATCTGAACACTTGGCTGCGGGTCAACGGCAACTGTCTCCGAGGGGCGCGCGTAGTACGGCTTGAGCAAATTTACATGGCACCTTTGAGTCGGTTTCCTACGACCCGGTGTTGAAATCACGTAGTTAAGCTCTGAAATTTGTTCCAACACTGTATGCGGCCCAGTAAATTTTGCCTGGAATGGTGACGTGACGATTGGAAGCAAAGCCAGCACTTGGTCCCCAGGACTAAAAACACGGCGCTCAGCCCCCCTGTCATATAGATGCTTCATCTTGCCCTGAGCTGACTCCAGCTTCTCCTTGGCCAATACCCCTGCAGTGTACAGCCTGTGCCTAAAGCCATTGACATAATCAATTAAATTCTTTGGAGGTTGTGACTCTACCCAGCCGCTAGACAGCGCAGCCAATGGACCTCTGACAGTGTGTGCGAGGACAAGCTCATTCGGGCTAAACCCTGAACTCTCCTGTGTCACCTCCCTTGCTGCAAGCATTAACCAGGGCAACCCGTCCTCCCAGTCTCTACCCAGCTCCGTGCAATACGCGCGCAAAAGGGACTTAAGAGTCTGGTGAAAGCGCTCCAACGCTCCCTGACTTTGAGCGTGATAGGCAGAGCTCTGGTTATGCCAGACTCGCAGCTGTTTCAGCACCTGCTGGAACATTTGAGAGGAGAAGTTAGACCCTCGATCTGACTGAATCACCTTTGGGATGCCAAACACAGATATAAACTGGGAGAGCGCCCGTACCACAGACCTTGTAGTTATTGTACGCAGGGGATACACAGCAGGGTACCGGGTGCTCTGGCACATTATAGTCAAAAGATAATTCGCACCAGATTTAGAGCGGGGCAATGGACCGACACAATCAACAATCAAGTGCTCAAAAGGCTGTCCGACTGCGGGTATGGGACACAGAGGCGCAGGTTTCAACGTTTGATTGGGTTTGTCAGTTAACTGGCATGTATGACATGTTTTAATGAAAGTCGCGACATCCCTCTTCATACGAGGCCAAAAGAAGTGTCTCAGGAGTCGGTCATAAGTTTTTCTTACTCCAGAATGACCTGACTCATCATGAGCAACTTTCAACACACACTCCCGCAGCTTTACTGGCAAAACTATTTGGACCACTGGGTCCCCCTCTACGTTCGCGCTGTGTACCCACTTTCTCACCAATAAAGAGTCGTGGCAAAAATAACCGGAAGCACTGTCCCACACCTCACTCGCCGGTCGAACCTGGTCAAACAGCTTCTTCAGGGAGGGATCAGACTGCTGCTCGGCCACTAGGTCACTGCGAGATATGGACAGAGGAAAGTCAGACAGGGGCAATGCAAATCTTTCACGGACACCCTCTTTATCTGTGTCAACCTCGGACTTTGCGGCCACCATGGCACGCGTAACGGCGCAGGCTGAAAAAATCTCCGGAAAATCACGTTCATTTTCATCCGGCTTCAATCTCGCCAACGGTGTCGGCGCCACCACGACGGGTGGTGATACCCCTGCCCAGACTCTCGCCCCTAACAAATCGTTTCCGAGAATAACCGACACACCTGGAATAGGCAACGCCGGGCGCAGCGCGAAACCAGCCTCCCCCTGAAACAAATCACACTGAAGCGTTACGTTATGTACTGGGACCCACAGGACGCTGAGATCCATTCCCCGGACAGGAACAGAGCTCCCCGTCTCTGTGTCTTTCGACAAAGGCAAAACTCCTACCCTGATGAATGAATCGAACGCTCCCGTGTCCCTCAGAATAGTCACCGGCACCTTAGTATCGCTTCCTACCATAGACACAAACCCCTCGGTGATGAACGGTCGGTATGAATCCATCTCCGGACAAGAATCGGTATCATGCACAACCTCAGAAGTGACGAAGTGACGCGCGGGCACAGCCAAAGCGACCCCTTTCGCATGATCCCCAAAAGTGCTCTTAGATTTAGACCGCAGCCATTGACAGTCTGCTTTCCAGTGTCCGCGTTTGTGACAGTAATTACAAAGTTTGTCCGAATCACCTAGGTGACTGCCACTCTGTTTATCACTTGGAAAGTGTTTAAGGGGTCGGCCGAATGACTCCCTGTTTACACTGCCCAGCCGGGGCTCACTAAAACTATTCCGATGAGTTAACACATAATCATCTGCGAGAGCCGCCGCCTCAGTCGCGTTTCTAGCTTTTCGTTCACTGAGGTAGGTTGCCACTCGCACCGGCAGTGAATTTTTAAACTGCTCCAATATGATAAGCTCACAGAGACCATCAAAATCATCCACACTCGCCGCAGCGCACCAGCGCGTAAAATGGGTAGCCAAATCGCGTGCAAATTCTAAGTGACTCTGCCTTTCTCCCTTTTTCCAAGATCTAAATCGCTGCCTATAGGCTTCTGGGACTAATTCATAAGCCCTTAGAACTGCCGATTTCACCTGAGAGTACTTACAACTTTCCTCCCCTGTTAATGCTGAGCAGGCCTCCTGTGCTCTGCCTGTGAACACACACTGTAATAATAGCGTGCGCACCTCATCCGACCATTTACGTGCATCAGCGACCCGTTCAAACAAAGAAAAAAATGATTCAGGATCTTTCTCACAAAATTTTGGCAAAAAACGCAAATTGCCCAACACATCAAAACTATCGGTGGACTGACCCAAAACAGAATCATTGGCCAACTCACCCGTAGCCATCAGCTTTCCCTCTTTAATCAGTGCCAATTTAGAATGCTCAAATTCCAATTTGGCCTGCTCCGTTTGCTGACGCATCCTCTCCACAGCCAGTTCTTTCTCCAGCTCCGCTTTCTGCTTACACTTGTCATGTTCCAGCTGCAACAGAAGCAGCTCCTTCTGCTGGTCAAATGTAAGCCCCACTGCTACTGAGGGCGGAAGCAACTGGGCGGCTGGGGAAACAACTGGCGGTTCTTCGGTCAAAACTTTTCTCTCAAACAAAGTTGAAATTAATACTGCCCTTACTCTGTCCTTTAAACGTTTGTCACCCACATCAACTTTGTAGTGCTCTGCTATTTTCAACAACTGCTCTCTCGTGCACTGCTCTAAAAACTCCTCTGACGGGGAAACAAAAAATTCCTCCACACTTGCCATCTCCGCTTACCATTGTGGGTGTGTGTGTGGTGTAATCAACGTAATGCACAGTGCAGCCAAACCCGGCACAAAACAAAGGCACAGTTATCAAACGCCCACGAGTGTCCCCCCCCTCTAACTCACTACCTAACCCAAAATCTACCTACCTTAACTCACCTAGTCTTCATGCAGTTACTGGCGGCGGGTATTTATGCACTAAAACCCAATGACTAGGAAAAAGTAACCACTAGCTGGCGACTCCTCCTGAACCACGGACGTGCTCCCGAGCGCAATGCTCCAACCACGGTCTCCGCAGCACTATTAAAACAATAAACAGGTCGAAATCCAAAGGGATAACGCCTCTGAGCCTCACAGGGGGAAAACACACGTTTAGTCTTTCCGATGCCTTAACACACAGCCGACAGCACCTACTTTACATCGTTACCATTTTTACACCCACACCCAAACAAAAACCTCCCCTTCTATCCCGCGAAACAAATTACTTATTTAAACAAATACCCCAAAATACATAACTCATTTGCATCTCCCGATTCCTGCCGCAGTGTACAAAGACAAGACACGCTGCAAGCCGGAAAAACCCCAAGAGAAACCCTCACAACAAGCTAGTGACGTCACCCACTACGTCACTTTCCATTCACAAAAATCAGGCCCACCAATGCTACTACTAGTTAGCTTACCATTCAACGCGAAACGGACCTAATCAAGACGGACGAGCCCCCACTTTTGTCACGACCAGGCTCTTCAGCCGCGACAAAAACAACGGAAGATGCACTAGTTAACGTAAACGTAATGAATTTATTAAGAAAACAGTATAACAGCAACTTAGGTGGTGAACACAAACAAGTCATGGGGTGTGAGGATCAGTAGATCAGCTGTGTAGGTGCGTGCATGCATGAGTGAATATGGGGTGTAATGTGTGTTAGGGTGTTGGATGCGTAAAACAAAAGACAAAGCCATCCGCCCGGAGGGAAGGAGAGAGCGAACTGGTGGAGAAGGCGGGGTATTTATAGGTTGGGAGACACCGGGCCCAGGTGCTGCCAACCTCACTAACCGATCGGACCGCCCCCTGGTAACCTCCTGCTTGACAGAGGGAAAAGCATACATTAGACACCAGGGAACCGTCACAATACTAAACACATATGAATGAAATGTAGGATCACATCAAACATTCTCATTATGTTTAAAGTATCACATTGAACATGCTAAATTACTCTGAAATGAAACAGATAGTAACACATAGAAACTGTGAACAACAAAAGAGTAAACACATGTGAATGAACGTCATCATGATTAATAATGGATTCTAAATACTTACATTCAGATTATTCAATGACATTATAACCACCTAATGGTTAAAAATACTAAATAAACAACTAAAATATAAACCAAACATTTCTAAACCATTTCTGTTACGTAGAGTAAAGTTATGATTCATAGTCAATAAATTTAACTCTTAAAAGTTCATGAAACAGTCTGAAAAGCTGTTGGTCTAAAGAAACTAAAGAATAAGGATTTATTCTGTCAGAGTGATAACTTGGCTTCTGGAGCACATAGAAAAATGAGAAACATCTCATTTTAACACAAATTTCATGATTAGACAGATTAGTACATTGCTGAATGCATAAGATGTCATGATCAGTCATTTGTATTCTTTCACCAAAGGAATGTAGTCTTTATCAGTGTATGGTCGAGCAGGGTTTTACGACCGAGGTCTGGAGGTCAGTGGTCCTGCTCCTCAGAGATTGTCTTGGGGCCCGTATGTTCACACACTTTAAGACAGTAAATCTCAAATGGGAGATCTGGGTTGAGGCGTTAATGTTTATGTAGATGGTCAGCGATGGAGTCAGTTTGAAAGGTAATAAAAACTCTGTCTCTGTTCTCCGAATTGACCAATCGTGAAGAGTCAGAGGTTTGGTCAACCTCCGGTCGGGTCACTTAGGTAACCTGAGAGTGCAAACAAGTCTGGAAAGATTTATATCCCGTGTCCTGGGACCAGATAAGGAAACTTTCCTGTGAGGAATGTGTGAGTTTCACACCCAGGGTTGTCTTGATTGCTACACCGTGCATATAACTACCCTCTCTACTCTAACTTTTTCCACCCATTTCAGTGCAATCAACATCCCCAACATCTCCACTGTGTTTACCGCTAGACCGTCTGATGTCCTTAAATTGATCTCAATTCCCTCGATGGCACCACTACTCCTAATCCTGCCCCCCCCAATCTCAGGTTGTTTTGCCCCATCTGTGTATACCTGAACAAAGCCGCTGTATTCTTCCCTCAGGCGTTGATTAACTACGCTAACCAAGCCTACCTGCCTCCCTCTTTCCTTTTCTTTCCCATTACACTCCAATCCACTGTTGGCCATACCATTCTCCATGATGGCATTGCTGGATACACTACTGTTAGGCCTACCTCCATCCCACCCACCCCAAGCTCTGCTGGTATTCTATTCCCCATCCAACCAAAATGCTCCCTCTTACCTTTCCCATCCCCCCAACACTCCTCTATCACTCCTTTTGTGCGGTGGGTACCACTGCTGCCTTTCAAACTAATCCAGTAGTTTGCAATGAGATGTTTGCACCTCAAGCATAGCGGCATCTCACCCAACTCCACCTGTACTGCAGGCACTGGTGACGTCCGGAAGGCCCCACTACAGATCCTCAATGCACTTGCCTGGATCGTATCTAACTTTCCTAGAAGAGACTTTGCTGCTGACTATACACCCATAATCTATAACTGACCTTATAGCTACATATACTGTTTTTAATGCATCACAGCTCGCCCCCCATTCTCTGCCTGCAAGACACCTCATCACATTCAACACTTTCCTGCACTTACCCTCTACCCGCTTGATATGATCCGCCCAGGTTAACCTCTTATCAAATACCACCCCCAAATACTTAAATGCCTCAACCCTCTCCAGCTGCCTACCATGCATACTCAATGACACATCTACTCCCACCCTCTTCCCGGTAAAAAATATAGTCTGAGTCTTCTCTACTGAGAACCTACACCCCCAATCTAATCCCCACTCTGTCACCCCATGAATCGCCGTCTGCACCTTTGTGACTATATGCTTGGTGTTCCTACCTCTCTTCCACAGTGCTCCGTCATCTGCGAACAGTAAGCTTCCTATATCTGCTGGTACCTCTGAAAAAACATCATTTATCATGATAAGAAACAATAGTGGGCTAACTACGCTCCCCTGGGGGGTGCCGTTCCTTACTTCATACTTACTAGATACCTCTGACCCTATTCTAACTTGAATCTTCCTATCATTCAAAAAGTCCTTTACCCAATTAAAAACTCTGCCCCCAATCCCCATCCCCTGCAACTTAATCAGTAATCCTTCCTTCCACATCATGTCATATGCCTTCTCTATGTCAAAAAACACTACCACTACAGATTCCTTGTTCGCCTGCGCCTTCCTCACCTCACTTTCTAGTCTCACCACTGCGTCCATTGTGTTCCTACCTTTTCTAAATCCGCTCTGGCATCTCGCCATCATACCTCTCTTTTCAAGCACATATGTCAACCTCTCTGTTACTATTCGCGCCATAATTTTACATATGTTCGAGGTCAAAGCTATTGGCCTGTAGCTAGAGGGAGAGCATGGGTCCTTACCTGGCTTCCTAATCGGTACTACCTCTGCTTCCTTCCATACACTCGGTAGCCTTCCCTCCTCCCATACCTTATTATACAATTCTAACAACCTGTTCATCCCCTTCTCCCCCAAATTTTTCAGCATTACATAGCTTACCTTATCTCCACCTGGCGCTGTAGGCTTTGCCTTCCTAACCGCTCTCACAAGCTCTGCCATAGTAAATCTGGTGTCTATCTCCCCCCCGTATCCTTCCTCCTGTCTAGAGCACCTGGATATCTACTCTGAGTCATCTCTCTTCTACTCTTCCCCTCCATAGTCAGATTGTCTACAATATGCACCTTTGCAAATGCCCTGGCTATCATCTCAGCCTTTTCCTTATCATTTACTGCTGTCTCTCCTTCCTCTGTAATCACAGGGTATTCCCACTCCCTCCTGTCCCCTCCCATCTTCCTTATCATACTCCATACTTCTCCTACCGGTGTTGTTCTCCCTATACCATTACAAAACTGCCTCTAACTCTCCCTCTTTGTGCGTCTAACTACTCTCCTCACCAATGCTTGTGCTCTCTGATACTCCAACAGACTTACCATAGTATGATTCTGCTTAATCTTTCTGAATGCTTTATTTCGGGCCTTCACTGCCTTGCTACACTCCTCTGACCACCATGGAACTAACTTCCTGGTCCTCCCATTTCTGCTCCTCGGAATAGCTTGGGTTGCTGCTGTGATTATTGCTACTACTTCTACATCCCTGTCTGTATCAACTACCTCCAGTAGACCCTCATTCACCTCCCTAAATTTATTCCACTCTGATTTATTGTCTTACCTGACAACACTTCCCATTTACTGACTCCTGCCAAACTTGCTGATATCAAAGAAGAAATAAAGAAAGCAAGGTAACGGGCACCGGTCCGGACCTATACAGGCCGTCGGTCGATACCCGTCCCCGGAAACCCTAACGTTATTTAATCTAACTGTTTATCTAATTCACCCAGCTAAATCTCAGATGTAACTGCCTTATCCTCTGAAGTACATTCATACAATCCAGTCACTTCAACTGCCTCGCTCCGCAGCGCGCCACCATCTTCAAACAAACCACTTCCGTCCAAACAGCCGGCGTCAAACTGCCGATGTCACGTTCCGCCCCTACTCCCCTGACTATACACATCAAGCCCGATGCGATTTTGCGACTTTCTGGGGGGGAAAAGATGCATCCTGGGGAAGACTTTTCCAGGGAAAAGTCCCGCCTCCTTCGCCTCTGATTGGCTAGAACAGCTGGAAACGTCATCACACACTCAAGCCAACAGTCAGCACTTATAGCCAATCAGAGGCGAAGGAGGGCGGGACCTTCCCTGAACAACCAGCGTCCTGGGTGGAAGCAAGAGGACAAAAATGGAGTCTACTTGACTCGAATTGGTACTCCTTTTGTTTTCTCAAAAGAAAAAGAAATGTAGCACATGGGTGCATCCAATATTACAAAAAAGAAGAGAACTTGGTGAGTTTCACTGCTTTGTTCAGGAGCTGAAACTGTACCACAGTCGCTGATTGTTTTCAGTTCTGATTAGACACTAGTGTTGAGATGGCTTTCTGTCATGATACCATGTACTGAGTCAGGGCCAGTACCAGATAAGCACATAAAACTATGGTAACAACCGTTAGCTTACGTTAGCACAGATGAGTTAAGTTAAAACAAAGACGTTTAGCAAACTGTTAAAGGGGTGTTCAGACCAAACGCGACCTCGGCAACGTTGGCAACGGCTCCCAATGCAAAATCTATGGACAGCCGCTACATGTTTCAACGTGTGTGTGCGTGCGTGCGTGCGTGTGTGTGTGTGTGCCACAAGCGCTGGAAGGGGCTGCCGGATGTATATATGAGGGAGAAAAGGAGGGAGAAGGAAGGTAGGAGAAGCGGGTCAGCGGCGACCAGCCACGTCCTGCGACCGCAGCTTTGGACCCGTTGTGAACACACCAGAGCACCACGCGACGCGACATGACCGACCAACGAGACGCGACGCAACCTGGTCGCGTTTGGTCTGAACACCCCTTTAAAGCACACGAAACATCATCATATGAGAGAGCCGACGCTATGACTCTTCACAAATTGTCCTTCAGGTCATTACCTTTGTAATATTTGTGTCTTTTATCAAAAAGTGGACACACAGTATGCAAAACTTTACAGAAATCAACCATGATCTGAAAAAATAAATGCCGCAATATTGCAGGATGGGAAAACGTTGCTGATGTGAACACTTGTATTGACAGGATACGGGTTTGTGCCATATTTTCTCCATTTGAGGATGACAGTCTTTACTGTGTTCCATGGTATATTTAGTTCCGTGGAAATTTTTTTGGTAGCCCTCACCTGACTGATATTTTTGAATAATGAGATCCCTCTGATGTTTTGGAAGCTCTCTGCGGACCTTGGCTTGTGCTGGAAGATGTGGCCACAAAAATGTCAGGAAAAGCCTACAAGAACAGCTGAACTTTATTTGGGGTTGATCAGAGGCACTTTAATTGGTGGCAGGTGTGTGCTGACTCCAATTTAATCTGAGTTTGAATGTTATTGGTTAAATCTGATCATAGCCACAGCCCCAGTCATTAAAGGGTGTGCATACTTAACCAATCACATGATCTTAGTTTTTTTATTTTTACTTCACCTCCCTGAAAGATTTCTGTTTGTTTTTTAATTGTGTTGTACAGGTTATAGGTCACATACAGTTGAGGCCAAAATTATTAGCCCCCCTATGAAATTGTAAGTTTTTTTCCAAAATTTCCTAAGTGCTGTTCAACAGAGTAATGATTGTTTTACACCGCTTTTCCAGACATCCTAGTTTTATTTTGGATCCTTACATTATTTTACTTTGCACACAGAAACAAAATTATTTCAGAAAAAAATTACCAGGGTCAAAATCATTAGCCCCCCTGAGGCTAATAGTCAATTGTGTGTCCTATTTGCTGGATAACAGCATGCAGTCATTTACTGTAGTTTGTAACAAGGCTCTGGCACATCTCCTGAGGAATCCCTGCTCATTCCTCTTTGGCAAATCTTTCAAGCTGTAAGAGGCCGAGAGTGTGTGGACCCAAAAGCAGAGGACGTGAGGCAATTGTTCAGTTTCCAAAGGGCAAACTCTTTTATTCCAACAAAAGAAACCCGGCAGGGTCAAAATCAGAGCAGCAAATAATCAGGCGACAAAAACCAGTGGGACAGGCAAGAATCAAAAATCCAGGACGATCAAAACAGGTCATACACGGGAAGCAGAGATATATCAAAAACGCGAGAGAGCTTGTACTAAAGTGACAAAGACAATCTGGCAGGGAAGAGCTAGTGAGGAGGGGTTAAATAGAGACGGGGACAAGACACAGGTGAAGCCAATGGGGTAATTAACTAAGGCGGGAAAAGGAACAAAGACCGGAAGTAAAGGTAACAGCAACACAGGGAAAACAGGATCTTCAAAATAAAACAGGAAGTGGACTTCACAAGCACAGATCATGACAGTACCCCCCCCTCAAGGGGCGTCTCTAGACGGCCCCGGAACATCTGGATTAAGTCTCTGAAAGTCTCTGATTAACGTTTTGTCCAGAACGTCCCTTGCAGGGACCCAGGACCTCTCCTCGGGCCCGTACCCCTCCCAATCGACGAGGTACTGGCGGCCCCTGCCCCTACGACGGACAGCCAGCAGGCGATTCACCGTGTAAACTGGGCCTCCATCAATTAACCTGGGTGGTGGAGGCGGGTCGGAGGGTGGGAGCAGACGACTTGTCCTGACGGGTTTGATCCGTGACACATGGAAGGTGGGGTGGACCCTCATGGTCCGAGGAAGGCGAAGGCGAACGGCAGCAGGGTTGATGACCTCTGAGATGGGAAAGGGCCCCACGAACCTTGGAGCCAGCTTGCGACACTCCCCCCGAACCGGCAGGTCACGGGTGGAAAGCCAAACCTCTTGACCAACGTGGTAGCGAGGGGCTTGGGAGCGACGGCGGTTGGCGGACCTCTGGTATCCAATGTTGGTGCGGAGAAGGGCTGCACGGGCTCTCCTCCAGGTGAGGTGACATCGGCGGACCAAAGCGTGAGCTGATGGAACTGTGACCTCCCCCTCGAGGTCCTGGAAAAGAGGGGGCTGGTACCCATAGACACACTGGAACGGGGACAGGCCAGTAGAAGCCACAGGGAGGGAGTTGTGGGCATACTCCACCCAGAGGAGCTGCTGCGACCAGTTGGTTGGACTCCGGGAGGTGATGCAGCGGAGAGCTGTCTCCATCTCCTGATTGTACCTCTCCGTCTGGCCATTCGTTTGGGGGTGGAAACCGGAGGAGAGGCTGACCGACGCTCCGAGCAGCCGGCAGAACTCCTTCCAAAAGCGTGAGGCAAACTGGGGACCCCGATCAGACACAATGTCCTGAGGAAGACCATGGAGACGAAACACATTAAATAAAACTGCCTTCGCTGTCTCCTTGGCGGAAGGCAACTTAGGCAGGGCGACAAAATGGGCCATCTTGGAGAAACGATCCACAGTGGTAAGGATGACAGTCTTACCCCCCGAGGGTGGCAAACCTGTGACAAAGTCCAGAGACACATGGGACCAGGGGCGGCGAGGAACAGGTAGGGGCCTAAGCAGACCGGCAGGAGGGTTTCGGGAGACCTTGCTGCGGACACAGACAGGACAGGCAGAGACAAACTCACGAGTATCCTCCCTGAGGGAGGGCCACCAGAAACGTTGTGTGATGAGGCTTAGTGTTCTACTCACCCCAGGATGACAGCTTAATAGAGAGGAGTGCCCCCACTGCAGGACTCGGGAGCGGAGCGGGCCTGGGACAAAAAGCCAGCCAGGAGGGCAACCCACAGGAATCCTGGCCGTCGAGAGTGCTTGCTGGACCTCCCTCTCGATGTCCCAGGTCACCGCCCCGATCACACAGTCGGAGGGCAGGATAGGAGCTGCATCCTGAGGGCGGTTTTCTGCCTCAAACTGCCTGGACAGGGCATCCGGCTTGACGTTTCGGGACCCGGGGCGATAAGACAGGGTAAAATCAAACCTGGTGAAGAACAGGGCCCACTTAGCCTGTCTGGAGTTTAGTCTTTTGGCTCCACGGATGTACTCCAGGTTTTTGTGGTCCGTCCAGACTAGGAAGGGCTGCTCTGCCCCCTCCAACCAGTGCCTCCACTCCTCCAGTGCCAGCTTCACGGCCAGCAGCTCCCGGTTCCCAACATCGTAGTTGCGCTCGGCGTAAGACAGCTTCCGGGAGAAGAAGGCGCACGGATGAACCTTTCCGTCACCCGCAGAACGTTGGGAGAGAACCGCCCCTACCCCAACGTCGGATGCATCCACCTCGACAATGAACTGGAGCTTGGGGTCGGGCATCTGCAGGATGGGGGACGAGGAGAACCTGGACAGGAGGGTTTGGAAGGCTGTCTCTGCCTCAGAGGACCAGGCAAATCTCGAGTTTGAGGAGGTGAGAGCATGCAGAGGGGCTGCTATGTGGCTGTAGTTACGGATGAACCGGCGGTAGAAATTGGCAAAACCAAGAAAACGTTGGAGCTGTTTCAGATCGGTGGGAACAGGCCAGTCCATAACGGCCTTGACCTTTTCAGGGTCCATCTTGATCTGCCCTGATGAAATCACAAGTCCCAGAAAAGACACAGTGGTCCGGTGAAACTCACATTTCTCAGCTTTTACGAATAACTGATGATGATACAGCCGCTGCAGCACCTGACGGACGTGACCCACATGCTCCTCTTCACTCTGGGAAAAGACCAGGATGTCGTCGAGATAGACAAAAACATATACATTCAGCATCTCCCTGAGAACGTCGTTAATCAGCGACTGAAAAACAGCAGGAGCATTAGTAGGTCCAAAGGGCATTACCAGGTACTCATAGTGGCCACTGGGGGTGTTGAAAGCCGTCTTCCACTCATCTCCTTCACGAATCCGAACCAGATGGTAGGCGTTGCGCAGGTCGAGTTTGGTGAAGACACGAGCCCCTTGAAGAAGTTCAAACACCGATGAGAAGAGTGGCAATGGGTAGCGGTTCTTCACTGTGATATCATTCAGTCCCCGGTAGTCAATACATGGACGAAGGGTCTTATCTTTCTTATCCACGAAGAAGAATCCAGCTCCAGCAGGGGAGGAAGAAGGACGGATGATCCCTGCCGCTAGCCCCTCCTGGATGTATTTATCCATGGCCCTCCGCTCAGGCGCGGATAGAGAGTACAGACGGCCCTTGGGTGGCATTGTTCCAGGAAGCAACTCAATAGCACAGTCATAAGGGCGGTGTGGAGGTAAGGATGCGGCCCGGCCTTTGGAGAAAACCTCTAGGGTCTAGGTAGACCCTTGGCACCATGGACAAATCTGGGAACTCAAAAGAAGAATCAGCAGATCTATGGGGAACAGGCAGAGAGAGCAGACAGGCTGACTGGCAGGCTAGGCTCCATCCTAACACCCTGCCTGTAGCCCAGTCCATCAGAGGGTTATGTCTACACAACCAGGAGTAACCCAGGATAAGAGGGTAGTGGGAAGAGTCAATTATCAGGAATGAAATAGTCTCTTTGTGGTTACCTGACATCTGCAGAGACAGGAGAGGAGTCTGTTTGGTAACCTGTCCAAGCAGGTGGCCATCGAGGGCGCGGGCATGGTGCACTTCAGGAAGAGGCTCGAGCTGCAGGTCCAGCTGGCGGGCCAGGTCCCGGTCCATGAAACTTTCATCAGCGCCGGAGTCGATGAGAGCTGATAGATCCAGGACATTCTTGGGAGAAGTGATGAGCTAAACTGGGGTCAAGGCGCGTGTAGGTGCAGAGGCGCTTGCGGAGTGGCTCACCAGTAGGCCTCTGGTTACCGATGAGCCTGGTCTTTTACCGGGCACCGAGCTAGGAAGTGGCCGGTCCCCCCACAGTAGAGACAGAGTCCCTCACGCTGGCGGCGACGTCGCTCCTCTAGGCTTAGGCGAGTCCGACCAAGCTGCATGGGTTCCGCTGGGGGGCTAGAAGGTGTAAATCCCAAGGCCGTTGCAGAGCCATGCTCTCCCCGATTCAGCCGATCCACATGGCCCGTTGGCCGGAGCCGCTCCCGTTCATGTCGCCGGTTGTCAACCTTTATAGCTAGTTCCACAAGAGCTTCGAAACTGGTAGGGAGATCAACCATGGTCAGTCTATCCTTTAAATCCTCAGAAAGACTCAAAAAAAAAGTGTCAGCAAGGGCCTCATCGTTCCAACGACTCTCAGCCGCCAAAGTGCGGAACCGGATGGCATGATCAAAAACACGGCTACTGCCTTGCCTGAGCCGACCCAGTGCACGGGCTGCCTCCCGGCCCGAAACAGGTTGAGCAAACACACGGGCCAAAGCAGCAGAAAAGGCATCCACAGAGGCACAAACGGATGAACCCCTCTGCCACTCAGCAGTGGCCCACTCTCTCGCCCGCCCGGTGAGATTTGTGATCATGAAAGCCACTTTAGAGCGTTCAGTGCAGAAGGTGATGGGCTGCAGCTCGAAGGTTAGTGAGCAGAGAGTCAAAAATGAGCGACAAGTCTCAGGAGTTCCATCATACCTCTCAATAGGCGGAGCACTCGGCTCAGAATAGTGACCCAGGGAAGCAGAGGGAACTGAAGGTGAAGAGGAGATGTCAGGGCTCGAAGCGGCAGTAGGCAGTGTGTCCAGGCGAACCATCAGCTGGTTAGTCTGAGTTGCCAGGGCTTGCAGCTGGGCAGACAACGACGGAACTCCAGGGCCCAGGCTGGAAATGGCCCTCTCCAACTCGGTTAGACGTCTTCCCTGCGCCCCCAGAGCATGGCAAAAGTCCTCACCTGCTGGGTCCGTCATGGCCAGATTGTACTGTAAGGGGCCGAGAGTGTGTGGACCCAAAAGCAGAGGACGTGAGGCAATTGTTCAGTTTCCAAAGGGCAAACTCTTTTATTCCAACAAAAGAAACCCGGCAGGGTCAAAATCAGAGCAGCAAATAATCAGGCGACAAAAACCAGTGGGACAGGCATGAATCAAAAATCCAGGACGATCAAAACAGGTCATACACGGGAAGCAGAGATATATCAAAAACGCGGGAGAGCTTGTATTAAAGTGACAAAGACAATCTGGCAGGGAAGAGCTAGTGAGGAGGGGTTAAATAGAGACGGGGACAAGACAATGGGGTAATTAACTAAGGCGGGAAAAGGAACAAAGACCGGAAGTAAAGGTTATAGCAACACAGGGAAAACAGGATCTTCAAAATAAAACAGGAAGTGGACTTCACAAGCACAGATCATGACACAAGCTCCTCCAGATCTGATGGTCTTCTAGCATGGACCCTGGTCTTCAGTGCAGCCCACAGATTTTCAATAGGATTTAAGACAGGACTTTGTGCAGGCCAGTCAATAACGTTCACTTTGGTTTCCTGGAGGCAGCTCCTCACCAGGAGCGCTGTATGTTTTGGGTCAATGTCATGTTGGAAGACAAAGCGACGACCCATACCCAGTTTTGCTGCTGACTGCTTGAGGTTTGCTTTCAAAATCTTCACATATCCTTTTTTCTTCATTATTCCTTCAACCTTGACAAGATTCCCAGTTCCAGATGCACTGAAACATCCCCACAGCATGATGCTCTGACCACCGTGTTTAACTGTGGGGATGGTGTTCTTGGGGTTATACACCTCTCCCTTCTTCTCCAAACATAAGCAATGTCTCTGTGACCAAAGAGCTCTAGTTTGGGCTCATCTAACCAAAGACCACGTGTTAGGTTTAAAACCTGCTCAAAATACCTGAAATAAAAAGGAGAAAGACAATGGATTATGTTTGAGAAATGGACAGAGATCTGTTTTAGCTATCTCAGTACCACTCTATGGATACTTTCTCTGTCCGCCTCTTTTATTTACAGTTGTCCCTGGCTACACAATGTTTCTAAAAAGGTGGGGGTAAATGTGCTGCAAAGTAAGCATTTCATAGAACATGATAATGAACAATTTGTGAATAGCTGAAGGTCAAGGCGGCATCTAACGAGCTCCTTCTGATAAGGATGGATCCTTCTCAAAAGCTTCCCACGATTCATCAGCGGAGAATACGTCACCCCCACACCCACACCTGCTGATAGGAAAAACACGGTCATAGAAAACAGAAAAAACATTGTGTACTGTGTAGTAAAGCTATTGAAGAGAGAAGTTAGGAAACACTCTTATATGATAAAAATACTCTAATATAATGTATAAAAAAGATGTCAAAGAGTTTATATTTGTAGTATAAATTCTTACATAAGAATATGAGGAATAATGATAACTTCTATATACATTTATGCACATTATTCTAACATTTCCCTCCTGTTTATCATTACTTTGCTCAAATTCTCATAATCCCTCTAGTTCAGCCACTTCTCTCGATTTTCAGCTGCAAGTTCATGTTTATAACTACAAAGAATTTACACACGGAGGTACAAGATGTTGCTTTAGTCAAAATTATACTCATCATCCAGATTGGGGCACAGGTCAGGCCATTGAGTGTCATCAAGTCTGTCCTCCTCGTCCTGCTGATGGAGCAGCGGGTACAATTCCTGCATCTGCTGCTCCACAGGGGACAACGCTGTGGTGATAAGACGGTTAAGAAGAGAACAAATACAGAAATCCAACAACATCCACACAAGGTCAGAATAGCTGCAAAAACAGCAACAGAGATTAGGACTGAATCTACAAGATTTTTGTATTTTCCAAATACATTCATCCAATCATCCCAAAAGGAGTTATCTATTCCTGAGTGGTCTTTCATTTTGCTGTGAAGTGCAACACGTTTCTCCAAACATGGCACATACACCTCCTGTTTCTGCCAGCAGCATGTCAAGGGCTATACGGTTTTGGAAAGCCATCAGGGATGTTGCAGATAACTGCGAGTGACCGGTCCTAAATACCAGCCTCAGTCCAATTACCTAGCTTTTGAACGTTGAAATGGATGTAGTTGATTCTGATTCAAACTATATTTTTGTTCATTGTACACCAAGGACAGACGAGAGACTCAAAGCCTGCAGCAACTTGATTTACTAGTTTATACTCATCTGGTACCTCACAAGGAACTATCTATATAAGTCGGGTCTGACTCTGTTTGCTAATTTCTTTTAATCTGGAGTGGCTCAACAAAGGAATAAAACTAACTGCAGATGTTAAATTTGCCACACTGGTCTGGAAAGTTACAACAGTTAGGATTAAAGTCACTAAGGCCCTATTATCAGTCTGCTGTCATTTAGGTACAGCTACAGAAACACGTACAGGTTTGTAAAGGTTAGGGAATTCCTAGTACAGACATAGAAGTTAGACTGATTCTACATTTTTGCTAGATATTTTTGCATATCTGTACCACATGTTCACTTCAAATAAGTTTATTTTTTTATTTTTATTTTTTATTGAGTGGGATTGCGAAGCATTCCCACTATATTTTATTCATATCTTTATTAATATTATTCTTCCACCATTTTTTTAATTATTATTATTATTATTTTTTTTTTATTTTATTTTGTGATGTACCTTTAATAAACATAAGTATAAGTGTTTATTGACAAAACAAGCATACACAAAATCCCATTGTAAACAGAATAACACAAACGCCTAGTAGCAGTTAAGCTATGGTAAAGTTCTCAGTGTCTTCACCACATGAAGCAACTGTGGTGTCCGTCTGGGTGATTCATACCCCTGCTCACTGTCTCTCAGGTTTCCTCTCTGCACATGGTCGCCTTCAGAACAGCTGAATGTGATTTTTGATCGTTTGTCACACAGGATGTGAGGACTATTGTTGTTGTCACTTCTCTTTCCTTCCTTAAGTTCATCTGAAGTTGTAAATAATGTTTTCAGTAGGTAAATTAACAGTATCAAACAAATTTAGATTACAGATGTAATTATCAATCAATTCAAGTAAAATTGGAACAAAACTCTCCAGATTTAATTCATTCAAAGAACAATGTTAACCGTCAAAAACAAAACAAACTTTACTTGGTCCATAAATACACCGCAGAAGAAAATAAACTTGTACAGGAATGTTTTACCGTCTTTCTTTTTTTTTTTTTTATGTGGACAGATATGTGTCTTTGTTGACAGCTGCTAGATAATCTGGTTAAGTGACATCAATACGAGGTGGCTTTAATTTGCTTTCCTTATGCCAGACCTTAACATGTATAATTTGGAGGTTATAGATTGTCACAAAACGTACAATATAATTTTGCTCTATTAACAAAATAAATAGATGGAGTGACAAAGATGGAGTGATGCAGTTCAATGCAATGCAATGTCCTTGTTTTATACAAAAAAATTTAATTTAAAAGGAATGTCCATTTTAGAAGAAATTTTCTGGTAATTCAAATGTTTTATTTTAATTCTGCAAAAATAGAGCACAATAAAGAACAAAGGTTTAAATAAAAAGTCATTGTACATTAAGTGCCATGCACGAGCCCAATTAATAGTCAGATGTCAGCCTATTTGGGTGCATTTTGGTCAGAGTAAAAGGGCTTTTTGTTTTGTTGAATAAAAAACTTCAAATAAAACATATGCAGAAAAATAACTTAATATACCCAACTTCTCAAGTGGAGAGGTACAAACACACAGTTGTCTCATAATTATCTGTTTGTACGATAAGAAGTCATGATATCACTCAGGTGGTATTCATAATGTATTCCATAATGTTAGTATTGCGGCGGAGCTGAGTTTTAATGGGACATTCAAATGCAGGGAGGTGCTCAACAAGCATTTTTAGTAACAATTAAAGAGATACAAGAGTCAAATATGGTTTAGCAGAAGTAAGATACTTAACTTCCCCATTTTCCTAAGCTCCTAAGGAATTCAACACCATCTAATCTTCACTGACATTGAGACGAACGCCCACTATAAGGACGCCCCCCTTTGAAGTAAGACTTTCCTAACTAAAACCCATATAGGTTTTTTTTGCAATGGGAAAGCTGTATCCAACTACTTCTTTGTGCGATATTTACTGCTGTGGGTGTCATTAGCAGTACCCTTTTTTTTTTTTTTTTTTTTTTTATGCTCCTCCCACTTACTTCAACGTATTCAAAACCATTCAAACTTCAGGAGATTCCATCTTATATTCAAAATTTTCCTAACATTCATACTTTCTGAGATATTCCAGATTTTACAACCAATTTTTTTCTCGTTAGAAATACATTATGGAATTTTCAAATTGGCCCTTTTCTCACATTTTCTTTACACAACTTTAAAAGCCTTCAACTCCTCTATACTTCCAGATTATGATCATTTTAATTTTTCAGTTTTTAATAATTTCATTCTTCATTCAGTATTCAATTTTTTCAAACTAATTCCAACTCAATTAAACTGATTTAAACCTTTCTGAATCTTCAAATCTTATCTCTTTCACATAATTTTTGAACTTAAACCATTTACAATAGCAGCTTAGCAATTACAATTTTAGCTGGAGCAATCCATCTTGCAATTTCTTGAGAAATTGCATTTTCTAGTTATTATTTATTTATTTATTTCATTTTTTCATTTACAAAATGAGTTCCATTGTCACTGTAGATTCGTTTTGGAATGCCAAATCAAGAAATTATTTCTCTACGCACAGGAAATAATTCTATCCATTTAGTGAAAGGATCTATTAACACTGAACAGTACTTCTTTCTCTTACACTGATTTAATTCTATGAAGTCCATGTGTATGGCTTCAAATGATGCATTGGTTGGTGGAAATTTGCCTCTGTTTTGTTTTATACTGTCTTGAGCATTATGTCTACCACAAACTGAACAAATCAAATAATTATTATTATTAAAGTTGTCTTTACTTATAGCTTTTGATCTCGTCCTGACTGCTCACGCCTTCCTCCCTTTGATTTGTTCTTGCAATTGCGGGCTATATGTCCCTCCTTTCCACATGCCCAGCAACCTGTCCCTCTTTGATTTGCTCCTCCTGGTCTGGGCCTATCCTGTCCTCTACCTCTGAACCCTTTTCTGCTTGCTTTTGGTTATTTTTTTCATTCATCAACCATTTGATTCCCATATTTTTGTGCTTTCTTTATATCACCCTCTGATTTTTTGGTTATGGAGTCTTGTAGTTTATTTAATTGGCTTGTATTTAGGCTGCCATCCGATCCAAATTTAATTACCCATAATTCAAGGATTTGTAATTTTTCGGGCTCTGTCTGGAAAACTTTGCAGTCTTGACTTTTTAGTTTGTCTAATTTAGCCTTACTGGCTCCCGTCCCCATTTTTATGTGTTTTGGTCCAGCTTAGGTGACACCTAGGGTGTCCTATTAAGCTGGGTTCTTTCAATGGGGTAGTGATAAAAATTCCTTATGTGGTAATTCTCGCTTCTACTCTTGCGAGTGGAGAATTCTTGCCTTTGCTTCCACAATAAGGTCACTACTTACAATCCCACTGTTTTGGTATGAATAGGATGTATCTAGTGATATATCTCTATTCCAATCACTCTCACACTTTCACAATCACACTTTTAACACGTGTTTTGTTCTGCAGAATTTTCTCAATTAGGCCTTTGTCCACGGTACAACACCGGACCCGCGCGTCTTCTTTCAACGGATTTGTAGGACCCGCACGTCCTTTAATTTAAACTTTTCCAATTAGGAATCTACCGTTTGTTTTTTTTTTTTTTTCAGCGGATTTGTAGGACCCGTTCGTCCTTATTCAGCAGATTTGTAGGACCCGTTCGTCCTTTTCGACGGATTTGTAGGACCTGCCCGTCCTTATTCAGCAGATTTGTAGGACCCGTACGTCCTTTTCAACGGATTTGTAGGACCTGCACGTCCTTTTTTTTTTTTTTTTTTTGTTTTGTTTGGTCTTTTATAGATTCACTACGCGAAGCGAATCTCAATCATTCCACGTTCCTTTTTATAAAAGACCAACTCACCACTTGTCTTTCCCCTTGGCTTCGGATTTCCGTCAACCGTCGGATCCCAGCAGGCAGGTCGAGTCCAGTTCCTCAAAGAGAGGCTGCCGTGGCCACGGTCTTATCTGTCGTCCACCTCACCTGCTGGAATCGTCAGGTCTATTGGAATCCGGCTCGAAGGACCAAAGAAATGTTAAGTTTAAAACCTGCTCAAAATACCTGAAATAAAAAGGAGAAAGACAATGGATTATGTTTGAGAAATGGACAGAGATCTGTTTTAGCTATCTCAGTACCACTCTATGGATACTTTCTCTGTCCGCCTCTTTTATTTACAGTTGTCCCTGGCTACACAATGTTTCTAAAAAGGTGGGGGTAAATGTGCTGCAAAGTAAGCATTTCATAGAACATGATAATGAACAATTTGTGAATAGCTGAAGGTCAAGGCGGCATCTAACGAGCTCCTTCTGATAAGGATGGATCCTTCTCAAAAGCTTCCCACGATTCATCAGCGGAGAATACGTCACCCCCACACCCACACCTGCTGATAGGAAAAACACGGTCATAGAAAACAGAAAAAACATTGTGTACTGTGTAGTAAAGCTATTGAAGAGAGAAGTTAGGAAACACTCTTATATGATAAAAATACTCTAATATAATGTATAAAAAAGATGTCAAAGAGTTTATATTTGTAGTATAAATTCTTACATAAGAATATGAGGAATAATGATAACTTCTATATACATTTATGCACATTATTCTAACACCACGTCTCCAGTATGCACAATCTTTCTCCAGATTGTCCTTAGCATACCTCAGTCTGGCTTGAAGGTGTCTTTTTTGTAGAAGTGGAGTTTTTCTTGGCCTGCATCCTTGCAGTCCATTTCTGTTCAGGGCTCAAGAGACTGTCTTGTTTGACACCACAATTCCTGACTTGGCTAAGTCAGCAACTACTGTTTTGGTAGTTTTTCTAGGTTGTTTAGACACATCTCCCACCAGTTTTCTTTCCAGTTTACCTACCTCTCTCAGACTTGTTCTGTGCTGTGTGGCTCTCCTTGAATTTCTTGATGATACTTCTCACTCCACTTCTTGACACTTGGAAACGGCGTGATAAATTTTTATATCCTTCTCCTGCTTTGTTAGCATCAACAATTCTTTTTCTCAAGTCTAAACTGAATTCTTTTTTATTTGTCATGATGCCTTCTCAAGTGACAGCTCAAATGCGTAACAAGGTTTTTATACTGTGTGTAAAATGTAGGACAACCCTTTGTTTTAACCGAATTGATTGATTGATTACAAGCTGTGAGCACTCGAAAGTGAAAGTACATGATTGCACAACAGTGGTTTTTGTTTTGGCTCAATGAAGAAGTCAGTTCTTAAGGGGGGCTAATAATTTTGACCCTGGTAGTTTTTAGTTTTTCTGAAATAATTGTGTTACGCATCCTGGGAGTAAGCGAGAAGACTGACACAACAGCAGACTGACTGTTTTCAGTTCTGATTAGACATTAGTGTTGAGATGGCTGTCTGTCATGATAGCATGTACTGAGTCAGGGCCAGTACCAGATAATAAATAAACAGATAATCCATAAACGTAAGGTAACAACCGAGACGGTGTTGTGACAGCAACGCGATTCAGTTTGAGACAGTGAAAATACATATGGTATGTTGTATCTGAACAGGTTAGCTTACAAGCTAAAGTTACTTAGCACAGATGAAAGTTAAACAAAGACATTTAGCAAACTGTTAAAGCACCCAAACAATCGTCATATGAGAGATCCAACGCTAAAACTCTCCACAAGTTCTCCTTTAGGTCGTTATCTTTGTAATATTTATGTCTTTTATCAAAAAGCACCCTGTTCTCCGACACGTAAACAATTAGCCAGTCGGCCATGTTGGATATACCAGTGAATCAGACATCGCAACAACACGCAATCTGATTCTTCAGAAGTGGACACAATATGCGAAACTTTAGAAAAATCGACCATGCTCCGGAAAAATAACTGCCGCAATATCGCAGGATGGGAAAATGTCGCTGATGTGAACGCTTGAATAGACAGGATACGGGTTTGAAAAAAAATATTGACGTCTGAAATAAACGCACGTAAAAAACGGTCCCGGTGTGAAAGGACCTTGAAAGTGCTCTGCCAGTACAGCATCAGACTGCAGGTCAATGAGTTCCAGCTGAACATTACTCTGTGCATTATCCACACTGCAGGGAAAGGGAGGAGAAATCATGTGCATGTCATTCTCGATTGTTCTGAGATCTTCAAATTGCCTTGAAAACCCCCCATGCAACGCTCCTAACATGGATGAGTACCTGCAGAGGTGATCAGCTGATGGTGTGACTTCTTTCAGGGTTTGCATGTGAGTGAGAGTGTTGCTCTCCAGTTGGCTTGAAAGAAACAGCAACTTTCTCATGAAAGCCTTCACCAGGCTGTGCATTTCATGAACAAAAAGGCCTAGCAGTTTGGTGTTCAGTTCATTCAACAGTGCAGTCACATCAACAGCAAATGCAAAATCTGCCATCCAGACCTAATCTGAAAGCTCTGGGATGTCTTTGCCTTTCTTCTCACAAAACTCATGAATCTCTGCTTTCAGTTTCCAAACTCTTTTTAGCACTTTGCCCAGGCTGAGCCATCTGACAGCTGTGTGGTAGCCAATGTCACTATGTTCAGTCTCATGCTCCTCCAAAAGTGCAATAAACTGTCTGTGATTTAATGCTCGTGCCCTGATGAAGTTAACTATTTTAGTTACAACGTCAATAACATGGTTAATTTTTAGCACTGACTTGCACAACACATGCTGATGTAATACAATGCACAAATACAAATTTCTGATCTGCATCTATTTCACTCATCTATTTTGCATACATTTCAAAAGTCAGATGTTTTTCCTGGTCAGATTTAGACAACCGTCCATTGTGACACCGACCAGTCTGTCCCATTTCAGTCCCAGCGTGTCTATGCATGCATTTACCAACGTCAACAGATCGCTCCCTGTTGTAGTCCCTTTCTTTGACCGCATTGCTTCCAGCTCCTCCGTAATCTTGAAGTCCGTTATCCCACGGAAAAATACAAGTAACTGAGCTGTGTCACGGACATCACAGCTTTCGTCCAAAGCCAATGAGAAAAAGTCAAAACCTCCCACTTCACATTGCAGTTGAAGCTCCAGATTCCCCTGCAATGCCCTCGATCCTTCTTTCATGGTTCGCCTGGACAGCGGGACTTGCTTAAATGCCTCATTTTTTTCAGGGCATATTAGTGCTGCAGAGTCCACCAAGCACTCTTTCACAAACTCCCCCTCCAAGAATGGCTTACTCTTTTAGCAATTTTGTGGGATATCACAAAACTTGACTTGGTTGCTACACCCCTGGATGTGTGAAGCTTGGTAAAAAAGCCCTGCTGCTTTTGTAGCTTAGCTAGCAAAGCTTCCAATGTCCGCGTCCTTTCAGCATCAGTCAAGTTTTTGTATTTCTCCACGTGTTTTGTCTGGTAATGCCGACTCAAATTGTAATCCTTAAATACGTCGATCTGCTCTCCGCATACTAAACACACAGCTTTACCTCCTACTTTAGTACATAAATACTTAGAAGTCCATGTTTTGTTGAAAACCCTGCATTCGGTATCCACCGTCCTTTTTTTAGCATGAGCGGACATTTCTGAGGGCTAAAGTTGTGACCTGTTGTGACACGTATTAATTTCCATATTGCATCATTATGTACGTGAACAAAAATACAACTTCAAAATAAAAGCAATGCAGCTTTAGCTTATCATGAGGTAAAATTAAAAATAAGTTCATTGTAATATTCAATTGACCTTGCACAGGCAGGTCAAAGTCAATCAAAGGGCTTTATGTGGCCTGGGGGCTGTACAATGCCCAGGTCGGCATTATTGTATTAAAGTCTCCTCTCCATAATACTTTGGCTGTGGGGAATGTTAGTAACAGCTGGTTAATTTTATTTTCTATTGCTTAAAATATAACTGCATTTTTTGGTTTACTATTGGATGCATACACTACAGGCCAAAAGTGTTGAAGAAAGATCAGATTTGTACAAAAAAAGATAATAGTTTCATATATATAATTTGCAACACAATATACATTACTATTTTGTAAAGAGTAAGACATTTTGACTATAATTATTAGGTATTTGAGTTATTGTTGCTTAGACTTTGCTTTCTTTAAAGTAACCTCCTCTGGCTTTAACAACAGCTTGGCATATACCAGGCATTCGTTCCACAAGTTTTTTAAGGTATGTTCCAGGTCTTTTTCTATCATCATAACTTCCAGGTTCCTCTAGTCTCTTCAGAGTGTAGTGGACTCCTTTGTTAAACACCTTTAGGCATTTTGCAATTTCTCTTTCTGTGTATCCTTCTTTCCTCAATGTACAAATCTGTACTTTTGTTTCTTTACTCAGTTGCTTCTTTCTAGCCTAGATCCTGCTTCCGGTCTGAGGGGACGCTGGCGTTTTGTGTCGCCGCTCCTCAACCGTGACAAAAGTCGCCTTTTAAGTGTCTTTTCAGTGCTTTTCGTGCTTTTTGTTCCCCCCCACAACTGGACACAGCTAACATTTTTCCTTTAGTTAGGATCGTTATTACATCGAGTGGATTCTGGAGTTTTGTGGACTTACCCCCTCCGCTGATGTGCTGTCGCTACTGTCATCTGTCACCGCTCAGCTGTTCGTTTGACTGCTGCCCGGCTTCCCTGCCGGGTACACGGTGACCAATCGGTTTGCCCACCCTCTGTGTCTACCTGCCTGTGTGACAAACTTGTCCGTCTCCCACGCGTGGACAGTTGGATTTCTGGGCTGCTGCACACGGTGGCGGCGACGTTAGCCTCCACTAGCCACTGCTCGCTGACGCTAGCTCCCTGCTGCTAACCAGGATGGGGACACGACTGCAGTACTCCTCCGCGAGGCTCCGCGAACTCGTCAGCCACTCCATTCCCCACTCCATCACGGTGATCAAATCCCTCTGTCTCTTGCGTCGCCCACGATATGTCCATGTTTATTTATTCAGACTCAGCCATTCCCTCCATAACGTCCGTGTTCCGGCCAGCTGCTCTACCACGTCATCACAACAAAATCCATGTGCGCACCCGTTACCTCCGCCCACTGGTCTGTGTTGACAGTCAAGCCCCTCCTACCTAGCCCATGTCAGCAGCTTCATTCATGCTGTTGAATGCCCAATCCATTAACAATAAACCTGGACTCATTCATGACATCATCACTGAACGCCACATTGACATCTGCTGCATTGTTGAGACATGGCAAAAACCACAGGAGTTCATGGCACTGAATAAAGCCACTCCCCCAGGCTATGCCTATATACAGAAGCCTCGCTTAAAGGGTGGTGGCGGTGGGCTGGCTGTGATTTATCGGGCTGACATCCTCACCAAGGAGGTGGCAGTAACCACTGCCACCTCTTTTGAATGCATAGTGTTCACACTGGCTGGTTTCTCCCAACTCCAGTTTGTGTTGGTGTACCGTCCACCTAAAAACACCAGCTCTGACCGGTCTGCCTTCCTGTCAGAACTATCTGAGCTACTCACCCCTGTCTGTGCCATGTCTCCATCCACGTACTTGCTGGGGGACATGAACGTGCACGTGGATTCCACCAGCTGTGCTTTCGCCACCGAGTTCATGTCAGTGTTGGAATGGTTTAATTTCAGTCAACATGTGCGTGGCCCTACCCACAACAAGGGTCATACGCTGGAGTTGGTGTGCTCCACTGGTACCTCCCCCCATCGACCTGCAGTGCCTGGACCTTGCTATCTCTGACCATCATGCCATCGCTTTCTCTGTCCCTGCCTCCCGGCCTGGGCAGCGGCCAAAACGCACCATCACCTACCGGAACATTAAGGCTGTGAGTCCTCCAGCCCTATCCACCATGATTGCTGCCCACCTAGCTGGGATCTCCCCTGACCCCTCCGATTGTGACCTGGTCTCTTCCTACAACACTGCTCTCGCCCTTAGCCTGGACTCTCTCGCCCCCATCAAAACACTGACAGTTTCATTCAACCGTCCAGCTCCCTGGATCACTCCCGAGCTCCGGGCCATGAAGTCCACTGGCCGACGGCTGGAGAGGCTCTACAAAAAATCTGGCCTCACCGTCCACCTTCTGGCCTTCCACGACCACGTAAAAATCTACAAGGACACTCTCTCACAATCCATAACCCAGTACTACTCCACCCTTATCGGGTCTCAGGAGAACCACTCCAGAAAGCTGTTTTCCACAGTGAACAAGCTTCTCAGCCCCCTCCCACCCGTTCCAGCCTCTAGTGATTCTGACCTCTGCCATAGATTCCTGAACTTCTTCCACGACAAGGTGGATACCATCCATCAGCAGCTCCAGACATCCACCACCTGTCTGCATACACCTCAGCTGCAGGACACTGCCCCCTCTGCCACGTGTCCCCCGTTCACCTCCTTCACTCCAGTGGATGAATCCCTTACCACCGAACTGGTCACCAAAGCCAAGGCCTCCAGTTGGTCCCTGGACCCTATGCCCACGACGCTGGTAAAGGCCTGTCTACCGACCCTGGTTCCCATCATTACTAACATCATCAACTCCTCTCTGCTATCCGGCATGGTTCCCACTTGTTTCAAAACCGCATCTGTCACCCCCATACTGAAAAAGCCTGGTCTGGACCCCGACGACCTTACCAACTACCGGCCGATTTCCAATCTCCCGTTCCTCAGCAAGACCCTGGAAAGAGTAGTTGCCGTGCAGCTCCAGCAGCACATGTCCGACCACAAACTCTCCGAACCCTTCCAGTCTGCCTACAGAGCGCACCACAGCACTGAGACCGCCTTGGTTAAAATCATCAATGACCTCCTCATCGCGGCTGACTCCGGCAACATCAGCATCCTCATCCTGTTGGACCTCTCTGCAGCCTTTGACACAGTCTCTCACTCCATCCTCCTCAACCGCCTCTCTACACACCTCAATATCACTGGATCTGCGCTCTCCTGGTTTCACTCCTATCTGTCCAACCGCCTGCAGTTTGTCTCAATGCATGGTTCCAAGTCCCACCCAGCCCCAGTTCCACACGGAGTCCCACAGGGTTCCGTACTTGGTCCACTCCTCTTCACCATATACATGCTCCCGCTCAGCCAGATCATCCGTAAGCACGGCCTTGATTTCCACTGTTACGCCGATGATACACAGATATATCTCAGCACCACACCCACCACTCTGCTCCCTCCACTCCCCATTGTCAACTGCCTACAAGAAATAAAAACCTGGCTGACCACCAACCTCCTCCAACTCAACGCCAAGAAAACAGAGCTCTTGCTCATGGCTCCCAAGGCACTGCTTCGCAGAATGGGTGATTTCCTCCTCCATATTGACGGCTGCTCCATCTCCCCATCCTCCGAGGTGCGCAACCTGGGCGTCATCTTGGACTCTGCCCTTTCATTCCAAACCCACATTAAATCCGTAACTAAGTCAGCCTTTTTCCACCTTAAGACCATCTCCAGACTCCGCTCATCCCTCTCAGACTCTGTTGCAGAAACCCTCATCCATGCCTTTGTATCCTCCCGCTTAGACTACTGCAACGGTGTCCTGTTCGGACTTCCTAAAAAAGACTTGGACCGTCTGCAGTACGTTCAAAAATTCAGCTGCCAGAGTGCTCACCCGGACCAAACCTTGGCAGCACATCACCCCCACCCTCAAACGCCTCCACTGGCTTCCCATCAAATATCGCATCATCTACAAACTCCTCCTGCTCACCTACAAAGCTCTCCATGCCCTAGCCCCATACTATCTGTCTGACCTCCTCAAGGACTACATCCCAGCGCGTACTCTGCGGTCTGCGGACCTTGGGCTCCTCACTGTCCGCTATGGGAAAAGGCGATCCCTCGGTGACAGAGCCTTCAGTGTGGCCGCCCCTCCTCTCTGGAACTCTCTCCCCTCTGAGATTCGCCAAGCACAGACTCTTGACTCTTTCAAGTCTGCTCTGAAGCGACACTTGTTTATTCAGGCTTTTGGTATTTAGTTAGTTTTTTTTTGTAGTGTGTTGTTAAGCGCTTTGGGTATCCTGAAAGGCGCTATATAAATGTAAGATGTTATTATTATTATTTATTAGCCATATTTGCGGTACTTTGAACGCAGTTGAGATTTATTAGGATTTTTGTATGCAGACTCTCAAAAGCCAAAAAGTTGAAGTGAATAATCCAACTGTGATTTGTTTTTTTGCTTTTGCACTGAAGTTGTCTCTTGCAAATGTTTTCAACCCTAAAACTAAGCCCTTATTATCTTTTGCTGACATATATTTAGCAATGGTCTGTTAACATCAATGTATATCTAAAGGTAAATGGAGTAAAATGGTGCATTTCCATGAAAGCAACATCTGATCATGGAGTAAATACATCCCAAAATACATAAAACTCATGCTGGATTTTAAAAAAAGCATTGTGAACAAAAACTTGAAGTTACTCCCAACTGTTCGGCCTGTAATGGCCTTGCTTCCAAATTTTTGGCCTGTAATGTATATATTTATGATAATAAACTGATAGAATAGAATAGAAGAATAGAATATCCCTTTATTGATCCCCCATGGGGGAAATTTTTTTGTCACAGCAGCATCACAGACAAAGAGTGCAAAAATGCAGTTATAAAAATAAAGATCATAATATTAAGAACTTAAATAAATGTAATAATTAAGAAAAAATTTAGGAAAGGGAAAAGGGGGAGAAGAAAAATAAAACTATGTACAATATACACAATTTAAATGCCGGAAAAAAAGTGGTGGTGTGAGTCCAGTTTTATTACAGTTCATTGTAAAGTCTTATTGCAGAAGGGAGGAATGATCTGCGGTAGCGCTCCATCTTGCAAGGTGGGAGTCTCAGTCTGCTGCTGAAGGAGCTGCTTAAAGCCCCCACAGTCTGGTGCAGTGGGTGAGAGGGATTGTCCATGATGGATACAAGCTTTGCTAACATCCTCCTCTCACCCACCTCCTCCAGGGAGTCCAAAGAACAGCCCAGGACAGAACTGGCCCTCCTGACCAGTCTATTCAGTCTCTTCCTGACCCTCTCTGTGCTCCCTGCCCCCCAGCAGACCACTGCATAGAAAAGTCCAGATGCTACCACAGAGTCATAGAAAGTCCTGAGCAGAGTCCTGCACACTCCAAAGGACCTCAGTCTCCTCAGCAGGTGGAGACGACTTTGGCCCTTCTTGTAAAAGACGTCTGTGTTTGTTGACCAGTCTAGTTTATTGTTGAGGTGGACACCCAGGAATCTGTAGGTCTCCACCATCTCGATGTCCAGACCCTGGATGTTCACTGGAACAGTCTGAGGTGTCCTCCTCCTGCGGAAATCTACGACCATCTCCTTTGTCTTACTAGCGTTGAGCTGGAGGTGGTTTGTGCCACACCAGTTGACAAAGTCAGTGATGACAGTCCTGTATTCTCGCTCATCCCCTGACAATACACATCTGATGATGGCTGTCATCAGAGAATTTCTGGAGGTGACAGCTCCCAGAGTTGTAGCTGAAGTCTGAGGTGTACAGGGTGAAGAGGAAGGGGGAGAGCACTGTCCCCTGTGGAGCCCCCGTGCTGCAGACCACCATGTCCGACACATAGTTCTGAAGCCTCACAAACTGTGGTCTGTCGGTGAGGTAGTCCGCGGTCCATGCGGCTAGGTGACAGTCCACTCCCGCCCTCTCGAGCTTCCCCCTGAACAGTGAAGGCTGGATAGTGTTGAAAGCACTGGAGAAGTCAAAAAACATGACCCTCACAGTGCTGCCGGTGTTCTCCAAGTGAGCCATGAACCTCTGCAGCAGGTAGATGACAGCGTCATCCACTCCGATGTTCGGCTGGTACGCAAACTGCAGAGGATCCAGATGAGAGCTCACCAGGAGGCGGAGGTTCCTCAGCACAATCCTCTCCAGAGTCTTCATCAGGTGAGAAGTATGGGCCACAGGTCTTAAGTGGTTGGGCTCCCTGGGGTGTGCTGTCTTGGGGACAGGAATCACGGAATCAGGAAGTCTTCCACAGTGCTGGGACCCTCTCCAGACTCAGGCTCAAGCTGAAGATGTGCAGTAGCACCTCACTAAGCTGGTCTGCACAGTCTTACAGGAGTCTGGAGCTGATGCCGTCAGGATCCGTGGCTTTCCTTGGCTTCATCTTCCTCTGCTCACTTCTCACCTGGTCAGCTGTTATGGAGAGGCTGGGGGTGGTGCTGGGGGGGGGGGGTAGTGGAGGATGAGTGGAGGGGGGTTGATGATGCCGGTGCCATGGAACTGAGGTGGTATGAAGAAGAAGCAGCAGACGGGTCATTGGTATGATGGGTCGGGGGAGGAGTGGGAGCAGAGTCAAATCTATGGAAGAACAGATTCAGCTCATTGGCCCACTCCCTGTCTCCTGCTTCAGGTCCCCACTCGTGGCCCCTGCTATGACCTGAGATGGATTTCAGGCCTCTCCAGACCTCCCTCGCGTTGTTCTGTTGCAGAAGGTTTTCCATCTTGGTCTTGTAGCTGGCCTTCCCCTCTCTGATCTTCTTCTTCAGCTCCTTCTGCACCCTCCTCAGCTCCTCATTGTCCCCGCATTTAAAGACCCTCCTCTTCTCCTTCAGGAGGACTTTAACTCTAGAAGGACCAGCTTTTGCTGTTCTACCTATAAAGACCAAAGGGCAGCCGATCGGCTTGGAGGGCTTTTAGCCAGTACTAAATCACCTGTGAACACTCAGTTTGTTATGCAAACGAGGCGATCACTGGCGCACCACAGGAGGGGATATGCTGAGTTACTTCAAGAAAACTTGTGTTGTTGGGAGAGGGAGTCGGGAGGGGGAGGGGAGTTTCCAACCTGAGAACAACTGTAGACAGAAACTGCTTCAGCCATAGCCACTGCACAAGGTTTGGGCCTCTGTTTGTTTTGTTTGGTTCTACTTCTCCTGATGTCCCTGCACCTCAGCAGATGGAGAACCAATAGCTAAGGCCAGGAGGTCCATCTTCAGAGCTTCCTGTGTTTCATCACACTGGACATGCTTGGTTCTATTAGAGACTGTACTGTTCAACATGCAAAGCAAACAGAGTATGTTGATTGGTTCATGGCCCTCCCTGAACTAATGGCATTTATTGCTATCCTCATCTTGCGGGGGCTGACCAAGGTTCCATCAATGAGTGACTGCTGGTCAGCAAACCTGGGAAACCCCCAGATCATTGCAACCATGTCCCAAAATCGCTTCAAAGACATCATGCAACACCTACGCTTTGATGATAGGGACACCCACAGTGAGCGCACAAAGACTGACAAGTTTGCTGCAATTTCTGCCGTGTGGTCATCATTTGTCACCAACTGCATCACATCCTACAACCCTGGTCGACACATCACCATTGACGAACAGCTTTTCCTGTCAAAGACTCGCTGCTGTTTCCTGCAGTACATTGCAACAAAACCTGACAAGTTTGGGATCAAGTTTTGGGTGGCTTGTGACTTGAAATCCAAGTACACCTGCGATGTCCTCCCATATCTTGGCAAGGATACCAGTCGTCCCAGTGGGGAGAGACTGTCTGAGAACGTAGTTTTGAGGTTGATGAAACCATTCCTGGACAAGCGCAGGAATGTTACCACAGACAATTTCTTCACATTGCGGTCAGTTGCGCAAAGACTGCTTAGGCAGAAAACCACCATCCTAAGCACAGTCAACAAGATTGGCCGAGAAATTCCACAATCATCTAGACAGAGGCACTGCAATGAATTCACCACTCAAGTGTTTTCAACCACTGGAGCCATACTTACGGTGTATGCGCCCAAACAGGAGAAGACGGTCTACGTTTTCAGCAGCATGCACAGCGTGGTTCAGACTGAGAATACCACTAAAAGGAAGCCAAACACCATCACCCTTTACAATACTACAAAGTGCGGCATGGATTTGATGGACCAGATGGTGCGGGAGTTCACTGTCCACACAGGAACACAGCGCTGGCCAGTCGCTGTGTTCTATAACATGATTGATAAGGCAGTATTGAATGCACATGTGCTGTATCAAGCACGCACTGGGAGGCAGGATAGATGGGTGGACTTCCTGGTGGAGCTTGCAAGAGAGTTGGCTAACTCTCATGAGGGTGTGAAGAAGGCACGAAAGGAAGAATTACTTCGGCAACAACCCTCCACACCTAGCCCTGGGAAAAGAGCCATATGCCAGGTTAAAAATCAATGTAAGAACAATCATGCCACTGTGCGATGTGTTGAATGCTACAGATACACATGTGGAAAATGCAGAAGGGAGATACCATTGCAGTGCCAGGATTGTAAGTGATTGGTGAAATGTACTCACTCACTTACTGCCACTCTCTAACACTGTATCCTGATGATGCATATTCTTGTTCTTATTCTATCAATTTTTTAAATTTTGTTTATACTTAATAAATAAATTACAAAGTAAACAACCCATGTGTGTTGATCCCTTCCTTTCTGTTGTCCTTTCCCACTTCATACACCACTTAGTCCAGTCCCCTCCTGCGGTGCACCAACGATCGCCTCGTTTGCATAACAAAATGAGTGTTCACAGGTGATTTAAGATATTAGCTAAAAGCCTTCCCGCCGATCGGCTGCCCCGTGGTCCTTGAAGGGGGTAAAGCCAAATGGCTGCTCTGTGGTCCTTCTAGTGTAAAGTTCCAGGGTCGCCCAAGGTTTGCTGTTGGAGAAACACTGTACTTTCCTGGTGGGTACGATGTTCTCAACACAGAAGTTTATGTAGTCTGTGATACAATCTGTCATTGTGTCGATGTCATCACCATGTGGGCCGCACAGTACATCCCAGTCTGTGGTCTCAAAACAGTCCTGCAGCGCCTTAGTGGCCTCCTCAGACCACCTCTTAACATACCTGATGGTGGGGGGTTGTTTCTTCACCATAGGTATGTAAATGGGCTGCAGTCTCACCAGGTCGTGATCTGAGCGGCCCAGCAGGGGGGAGGGGGCAGGAGGAGTATGCATCCTTGGTGTTTGCATACAGTAAGTCCAAAGTTTTTATTTTCTCTTGTTGGGCATTCCACGTACTGGCTGAAGGTAGGGAGAGTGGAGGAGAGCGATGCATGATTAAAGTCTCCAGAGATGATGATCAGAGACTGAGGGTGTGATGTTTGTAGCTTGGACACTTCTCTATGGAGGAGTTCACAGGCTGCAGCAGCATCAGCCGAGGGGGGATGTTATCAGTTAACGTGATGACGTGCGAAAACTCCCTCGGCAGGTAATATGGCCGCAAACTCACAGCCAGCAGCTCAATGTCCTTAGAGCAGCACTGCTCTTTAACACTGACGTGCCCAGCATTACACCATCTCTCATTCACATACACAGCTATCCTACCTCCTTTCTTCTTACCACTCTCCCTCACGCTCCGGTCCGCTCTGACGAGATGAAATCCATCCAGAGTAAGTTCGTTGAGCCATGACCCCGTTAACATCATGAGGCTGCACTCCCGGTACTCTCACTGCAGCCGAGTCAGCGCTGTGAGCTCTTCCATCTTGTTGGGGAGAGACCTCATGTTTCCTATGATAATGGACGGGACAGTTGGCTTAAAACGTCTCCGCTTTGCCTGAAGCTGAACTCCAGCTCTGCATCCTCTTCTTCTCCTGCAGAGCTTGGCGGGGATGTCCGGTCTGTCCCACAAAGATGGCCGGGCTTGGTGCAGCACCAATAGCTGTTCACGGCTGTAAACAATGGAGCCGCTGAACAGGTCACCAGACGCGGACTTAAAAACTCCAAAAAGTAAAAGAAAACAAAGTGCCAGAGTCGTGGAATGCACATCCATGATTGGAATATGCAAAACACAACACTGCTAATTAAAAAGAAAGACAAATAATGAGCGCCCTGAGGGTGGCATAATGGTTAACATCTACAAGAAGGATTATCCATCTACCATTAAAGGTGGTGTAGGCAGGAATCCGTTAAAGAAGTATCTTTTTTTGTGGTGTATATGCAAAAAAGCTTTTAATATCAGTCAATAGCTATTAGTCACTGATGACATTTGGTAATATAACGATATCGCTGTGTTTTGTTATGTCTGTATAGTCAACATTTAAAAATGTCAGTGTGCTACGCTCTTTCTTACTGTAAACAAACCCATTCCCCGCCTCCCCCATCCTGATTGGTTGTGAGGCGGACGCTGCTCCCCCGTGTCGTTCATGAGCCCAAACAAAGTTAGCGTGCTACAGTATTGGACAGTAGAAACCAACCAGAAAGTACAGAACATTTTCTGAATTCTTCTTTAGCAATGACCACCAACACAAGCAAGAAATGGAAGTAAATACCAGAGACTCTGGCAGAATAATGGGCGCTTAAAAAGGAGGTAGACCACCCACAGACAAGCTAATAAAAGCTGGGTCAACAATGATAGGGGACGCTTCGGGATCTTGCAAACCCTGTAACTTTTATGCTGGAAAGGTAAACCGCTTTAACAAAGTAAGCTAAGTGTCTGTAACAGAAGTGTTTCTTGTCAAACAGGACCTGCTGGGTCATTCCATGTCAATTCAACCAAGAATCTCCACTTACGTCACAGATTTTGATGAAATTTGGTGGAGTGATTGGCCGTCAGGAGAAACTGTCAGAGCTCAAATATTTTTGTTCAAAGCCATCTAATTAGTGAGATAGGGGCTAATGAATTTTTGGCTAGTTAGCATGACATGCGTTACAAAAGTGTTCATATCTCTGGAAGTATGGCACCTAGAGAGCTGATTCAGGTGTCATTTTAAAGCTCTCTTCAAGTTCTGTCTTTGTAGTTCATACATTCTTTCCTATTTGGAAACAAACTAACAATATCGATTAGCTGCACAAAGCTTGATCACCATGCTAAAAGTACTTTTGAAGCATAAAGGAAACGAAAGGGCTCAGGATAAATAGCATGGAATACTTCACAGGGAAACCACCAACAAAATTTCAGGGTGCATAGGTAGAGGTTTTTTGTCAACCCTAGGATCCAGGACATGCAGGTATGTCCAAATGATTCTCCCATGAAGCTAAGATCATTCATATTCTGGATATAAGTGCAAATAGAAATGAAATGCGTTGGAAAACTGAGCAAAAATAAGCTATTCTAGCCATTTTCATATAAATATGGGATAACATACAAATGAAAACACTCAAAAAAAGAATTTTGCACTATGAAGAAGTAATATTTTACACAAGCAGGCAAGTGGGGCTGACTCCAGATGAGGTCAGGACTGCATAATGTGCCCAATATGGCGATTTTCGACCTAACATACCACACATTTTGACTGATTACTCAAAAAGTTGTGGAATGCCCATCCTGAAACTTGCAGGGATGCTAGTGGACATGATAGTCCTTCTTTAGTGTGAATATGAAGAAAATTGTAGGACTGTAGGACTGGTCCAACTTGGGAAAAAATGTTATGGATGTTATGGAGAGCTTTAAAATGACACCTGAATCAGCTCTCTAGTTGCCATACTTCCAGAGATATGAACACTTTTGTCACGTATGTCATGCTAACTCGCCAAAAATTCATTAGCCTTTATCTCACTAATTAGATGGCGTTGAACAAAAATATTTGAGCTCTGACAGTTTCTCCTGAAGGCCAATCACTCCACCAAATTTCATCAAAATCTATGACGTAAGTGGAGATTCTTGGTTGAATTGACATGGAATGACCCTGCTGCGTGTTGTAGCACCGCTAAACTGTTTACCTCAGGTCCTGGAGTATATCACTTCATCCTAGTCATCGAAGTCCTGCAAACATTGTGTTTGCTGGTAGTCTGTTGGCATATACAGTAGCACCAAAGCTTTTTACTTTCACGTCGACTGGGCTCCATTTGTAATTTTTTGAAGTATTTATCTGTATTATATCTAAATTTAATTGAAACGATAGGAGCAAGCAGGAGCGTCTGTTTTTGGGTGGGGCTTGCTGGAGCAGAGAGGGAGGGGAGAGGAGGAGCTGAGAGGTAAACTGGTTGGGAGGGGTAGTGTTGACCTTCAAGATTTCTCCCAAAAACTGGCACTTCCTCAGATCCTGCCTACCCCACCTTTAATGTCTGAAAAGTGATTGATAATATTACCTTTAAACTTTCCCTGCAAAACAGCGACCCCTACTGATCTGTTGCTACCAAAGGAAAACCACACATTTCTTCTCCATTGACTCCTCAAAATTGACACATTTGCTTCTGAAGCGTGAGTTTCGTGAATAAAGTAAAAAATGTTCACCTTTATTCTGGCGATATAAAAACAAGCATTTTCTCTTTAATTGACTTCTAAGACCCCTGGCATTAACAGAAAGAACCCATATTGACATCAAGACATAACTAAGACCGTAAAATTAAGACACTCAATATCCTCTCTTATGATTTGAGGAAAACTGCTATGTCTGCGACAGGGCGATTAATTCAATAATCTTTAGTACTCTAAGGGCTTATTAGACACAACCTTTTTATATCATAAACCATATGAATCATAAGTCATGTTCTGTATTTGAATGTAGGCCTGTCAGCCAAGTCGATAAAGGGAAATCTATCAGAAACAAAAGTTCTATACCAGAGGTATAACAAATGTTTTATCACCTACGTTTTGCTCATCGTCACTCTTTTCCATTGATGTAGGCAAATGGACCTCTGAAGCCTGCTCTCTGACTCTCTTTCTTCGCCTGCTCCATCAAAGGCCAAAGTTTGTTCCTGGTGTCCTTAGCATCTGGTGTCAAATCTTCGGTTATTTGTATCTTTCTTTCCTTGAGCACAGCTGATGTTCTTGCATCTTTCCAGATTGTGCCCCTGTGGGACCGCAGAAGGAACTGGACGATGATCTGGCGGCTGGTGCTCGCCTCCTGGAGCATGGGCCCGGTCTGTGAGCGACATCCATAGAGAGGCTCAGTTGGTCAACAATGTCGGGGAAAACCTGCCTGAAAAGGTCAATGATGGTCCTCTCAATATTTTCTCCAGGTCTTTCAGGGATCCCAGCGACTCAAAGATTTCATCTCCTCTTGTAGGTGTCCAGATCGTTACACTTTGAATGTAGTACCATATTTTCTTATTCCAGAGATCAGCCTTTTTACCTGTTTCTTCTACCTGTTTCCCCAAAAATTCAAGAGAGTCAGTGACACTTTTTAACATATTAGTATTGTCTTTAAAATAAACCCACAATGTGAACACAAAAAGAACTGCGTTCCATTGCTTTTGCCACTTTTTGGTCCACTTGAAGAGGACTGAGTTCATTTTTTTTAAAAGGGACCGAGTGTGAAAACACCCTTGGTTCCCATTAAAGAAAGTCATGCAACCCAAAAGTAAACATGCCCTTGTCCCAACCATTTCAAAATGTATGACTGCTAAAATGAGAATATGTTTTTTATAATATGATTAAATTACTCTTTTTCAACATTTGATATTTTGTTTTAAATCAGATAAGCTTTTAACACAATTTGCAAACCACCATTACCTGTTTATAAACATTGCACATAATAACCTAACTCTACGGAATTAGGGTTGTAAGAGAACAATTTTTTTGTGAAGTCTTTGTGTCCAGTGATAGAGATCTGCCTTTGACTTACATGTGAAAATAGTTTAGCATTTAAAACACAAAATAACCAACCAAAACAATGAGGAATATTTATAAAAATATACAATCTGAAAGATAAAAGACCGATAGGAGAAGTAAGAAAACTGATATCCTCATCAGGGGTCTTCTGTCCTTTTAGAGACCTATGTTTGCTCTAAGGAGTACACAATTAAAATGCGCAACCTAGTGAAATAACCATGGCATAATACAAACCAAAGTACAATGTGCAGAAATAGAAGGTGTAAAACAGTATCAGTTATAACAGCTAGTGAAACCCTACAGACCCTAATATTTTTTTAAAAATCACTCCCATTGTGCTTTTGATTCTTACTTTTATTGCATTAAATTATGATGAACATTTTTTGGTAAATTAAATTCCAAAATACAATACAAAAACATTACAACAAATGCCCATTTTTTCTCCTGTTCTTCCTCATACATACTGTACCTGAAAACACAGACACAAATAATTACTCTGCATGCCGTACACTATACCACCGACTTGTAAAAAGACATTTGTAAAGCAGCTGTTAAAACATCAAATAGAGTAAAACTGTCTGCAATGGATTAGTCAGTAAACACACATGTAAAACTTCATTAAATGTCGGCATACACATTCCCCTCCCTATGAATACAAAAACACAATCATTCACTTTGTTGCATAGTTTTTGAGGGTCAAAGCAAGTCTTGCCTTGCACCATAAATGCCCAGTTACGTATTTTATAGACTTTTATCTTGTCTAGATTCAAATTTATTTCAGTTTGTATTAGATGGGAAAGGCAGATATGCTCATGTCAAAGTCATACATACATATATTTATCTAGAAACCTTAGGACTGATTGTTTCTCAGAGTGTTATTGTTTTAAGCAGGAGACACAATCAACCTCAACATCTTTTTTACTCGACTGCAGCTCCTTCTCCATCTGTACATCAACATAGACTGAATCCAATTTATCTGTAAATCCATTAATCCAGGTCATCTTTCTCTATCAGGTGCAGGTTTACTGATAAGCTCTAATAATGCTCTCATAAGCTGGAGGTGGGGTCTGCGTTGCATTAGGACCCCTAAGGCCATTGTTCCCCCAGAATGACTCTGGTCTGCGTGGAGTGGCACCTTGCTGGGCTGCTAGTGTAGCCGATGTAGTCGATGTGCCAAGAGTTGGTGTGCGGGGCAGCGTAGTCTGACTCCCTTCCTCTGCTTCTCTTGCAATTTGGCTGCACTGGAGGAGCGGATGAAAGGTGGAGGCCCTGAAGCTGGATTTGTGTCCCAGTGGGTCGAATTGATCCGGGGAGGAAGTCTGGCGGTGAAAGCTAAATGCGGCACTGATCAAACTGTTGTTGCTGCGCCGATCATAGCTGCTGTTGCGGTTGAAGCCAGGTCGGTTACGGGAGGATAAGTGAGATTGACGAGGAGGGCGGTGAGTGATACTGGCAGATCCTGCTTTGCGTCGGGACATCCATGTTAAGATTACATAAATCAGGGCCCCCAAGACCAGGCCAACAGCCATGGACACACAGAATGCTATGATGAGAGGGACTGCGAAGACAGAAACACATATCAACACATATTACTTAGTAGTTTTGATGGGTTCTTTTCCAACATCCTACATATTTTTGTTCCAACAAAAGTATTCTGTTTTCATCAATCCCGCCCTCTTTTTAAAACTACCTACTCCACAGGTGTACCATGAGGGACAAAAGTTTAATACAGTTATACAAAAACAATACACCTTCATCATCTACAATTTTTAAGTTTTTGCCATCTCCTGAGAATAAAAGGAATCCTAATTAGAATATGTGCCCCAAGCAAGATTACAAAAACCATCTGTTTATGATAAATGGAGGATTGTCAACAGCTCCTTGCAAGATGGTGCCCACAAAATAATGATTATAGACTTTTGTCTATTGTGCAGGATTTTTGGGGACAACAAGCTGAGAATACCCCCCCCCCCCCCTTAAAAAATGGCAATGACTTTTTGTACATTGTGTCTTTGCCTCAGCAAAACTAATGTCAACATAAGCATGCTTGAGAAAAGAGAGAATGCAGCAGCCAAGACATATCCTGTTGGACTGCTGCCAGGGAAAACAAATCAATTTCCTTTTGATACAGCCAAGCATTAAAAAGACTACTTTGCGACTAGCCTATTATTTCCACTGCTGTTTTCTTTTCTAACTTCTGGAAAAAGGGAAAGAAGACACTGGTTAAAAGTCATCTGGAAACGGCATTTGGAGAAACTAGGGGGAAAACACCAAGAAAACATGTTAGTTGAGTTTGAGCAAAAAGTCAAGAAAAATAGGGAAGGATATCGTCATAATTTTAAATTGTAGTATGAGGAAATCTTCAAAAAAGGAACCAGGACCGCATACTGTGTCTGTACTAGAGAGGGTTAAAGCTTGTATTCTTTGGAGGACAACTGTGCCAATTAGAGAAACCACATGAAAAAAGAGCAGCTAGAAGAAAAAAGAAATATGAAAAAAACTTACCAGCATCAAAAGACTGAAGTATTTCCAGGAAGAGATTTGTGTTGTTCTGGGCCATGTCTGTTTCTTAGATAAAGGAAGAAGACAGACTGATACTTTTATCAGTCTTAACCCTCTTCTCCCCTCTCCTCTCCTCTGTCAACTCCTTCTTGTCTGTCTTTTCTTCTGATAGATTTTACTGTCTGCTTTCCCTGCTTTTTTGCCTCCTCTCTTTCCTGTTCTTTTATTTTCTCCCCCTCTCTGTCTCATTCCTCCCTCTTGAAGAGGAGATTCGACCCAGAGGCACACAGGACTAGCGGCTAACTCTGGCAGTCTTCTTGTTTATGGAAGCGGAAAACTACACTGTCACATTTCCTGCTTTTCTGCTTGAAATTAGCAACAGGAGGGGCTTATCTATCCAGGACAGAGATCCTGGAGGTGGGGAGATGGGGTGTTCCTATAATCACGTCCTCTCCCATCATTTCCTTCAGGTTGATAAATGTGAGGAAGTATTACTATAGCGTAGACAGACTTAGCACTTCAGACTCTAACAAGAGGAAAGTTCAGGAGAAACAACAAAATTTTGCTTCCTCTCAAAAGTGATAAATACTTCAATCCCGCTTAATTTTTTGTTCCTCCACAGAGACCAAATAGTGACAATCTAGCCATAAAAGTTTCTCCAACAGTTTCAACTCTGGGTCTGAGACGGGTGTTGAAACCAAACCACAGCTGGAGTTGATGGGTAAAGTCCTAATACTCTGCTGAAATGATGCAATGAAATTTACTTTTCTGGTGATTTTTTTTCAGCTGTGATCTGCCTGGTCTGATTTCCAGTGCTGTTTTAGATAAGCTCAGTCTTTCCACAGTGTCTGACCGTTTGGTTGTGCCTGTATTGTAGGTTTGCTCCTTTCTTAGTTGAAGAGAAGTGGTAATAATAGTACCTTGGCAAGAACGACATGCTGCAAAGTTACTCTTTCAGTGTTACTGAATGTTTTACTTGACACTTAAAATCAAGATGCTGCAAAATTGCCTCATTTCACTCAGTCAAAGTCAGTATTGTTTTAGTCCACCCCTCTCCAAGCCAAATGTGCTAGCTCATCAATACAGTCAGGAGGGCAGATGCAAGTAGTCATATTGGTATGCACTGAGACACAGCTAATGTCACCACATTAGCTGCGGATTCACTTTTCAGTGAGGACTTTAAACACTCGAGTCAAGTCAGTCTTCCAGAGTTTGTAATTTTTTTTCCTGATAAGCTGTCAACCTTTACCCTTCTCACTGGCAAAACAAGAGCATTATAGAGAAAGCTCCTCCTAAGCTTGAACTTCCTTTAATTGTCCAGCCTGCAGTAAAACCTCTCAGAAATAACCAACAAACACCCATAACACTGAGTACACAGTATGTGTGGCTATTGTGTTGTGTTGTGTAGTCACTCAGGTGAAATGAGGCATTCTGTTCAATGTATAGGTTTGAGTCTCATAGTTTAAGTTCATGGCTTTGTCATAACATAACAGGACAGGGTGGTGGGAAACCACATTGCACTTTCCATAATATCTTAATAAGTAAATATGAGTTACTTAACTTCTTAATTGGGGTTATGGTTATCTTTGACACAGTAGCTTTTATTTGTATTTGATAAAGGGACATCACTTATGTGTAAAATATGATAGTTTAGAGCAGGGGTGTCTAACACAAATACACAGCGGGCCAAAATGTAAAACTTGAACAAAGTTGTGAGCCAACATTGAACAAATTGAACCTTTTAATATGGACCCAAAAAAGTTTTGCTTTAATATTAAATATGGAAAAAGCAATGCTTATATAACTTAAAACCTTATAGGTACTTTCATCATGCACTTTTTTTACAAACTCTCCCTCATTAAAGGGCCGGACTGATTTTGCGATCTCTGCTGCCACAGTGTAACTAGCCTTCACAGCAGCTTCACTTTGGGATGTGGCCTTTTTGAATATATTCTGTTGTGAAACCAAACATCTTTTCATCTCCTCTACTTTCTGGCTCCTTTGAGTCATGTCGAGGTCCTTGTACTTGCCCTGGTGTTTCGTTTCATAGTGTCGTCTAATGTTGTACTCCTAAGGCTATGTTCACACCACAGGTTATGATGCAAAATTTGGATTTTTTGTTAAATCCGATCTTTTTGTGCGGTTGTTCACATTCGAACATTGAATACGGCATCTAATGTGAAAAGAGTGTGTCCGCGAAGTGACCTCCATGAGCACAAAGCACAAATTGCTTTCCGCGCCTGTTTGTGTTGTCGAACAATAGTGACGTTTGTCGCATATTGATGACATATAGGTCGGATGAATGCGACCTGAGCATCCACACTGCAGTCACATCGGATACATATCCAATTTATATCCACATACAGTAGAGGCCTGGGTCAGATTTGAAAAGAATTGCACTGTTCACACTTACTGAAAATCAGATGTGTGTCACATATTGTAAAAAAATCGGAATTGACCTGCAGTGTGAACATAGCCATAGTTATAGACTGGTTGGCTCCACATACAAGACAAACAGGTCTGTCTTTTACGTATGTAAACAGATATTCTGCCTCCCGACTGTCCAGAAAACTCCTGTTTTCTGCCCTTCTTTTCCCCATTTTTGGGATGGGGTAACACAGTGATAGTTGTAGAATGAAGTCACTATGACTACTGTCACAGAGGAGAGGGCATTTCTGGGTCCTGTCCTGTTTGACGCGCCAAAACAGCAGCAGATGGGATTTGTAGTATTAGTGAATGCGCTGTATAATACAGGCGGACTAGCTCTAGTAGTCATTTAGTATTGCCTCGCGGGCCAAATATAATTACACTGCGGGCCAAATTTGGCCCTCGGGCCAGAGTTTGACACCCATGGTTTAGAGGGACAAATAGACATACAATAAGGTATTATATTTCAAGTTTTGGTAATACATCAAATCCTTGTCAGCAATAATTAGGCAAGTGAAGGCTGAATGATTGATAAAATAACTTGGGCAGTTTCCACAAGCCATATATTCATTTTATTCCCTCTTAGTCCAATAGATGGAGTGGTACTCAAGGTAAACTTTCCACTATGCCTTACCTCTTCCTGTCTCTGAGAGCAGATCCACTTCACACCTTTCTTTAAAAATTTGCAGACAAGCCTGTTTAACATGGTCCATGTGGAAAAATGTCTAGGTCAGTTTATCAAGTCTTTTCCCTCATATTAATGCAGCACTTAGCATCTCAAATAGAACTCTAGTAAACATGTTACTTTTCTGTAGAGAACAAAATAAACATTTTCCCAGCCAGTCAAAAACTCTGTCTATAAAGCTGTTAGGTGTTTTTTTTTCTGCATATGTTATTATCAAGGTGAAGATTAATATTTTAAGCCCATGTGAGGAGCTATCTGTTGGTATTGATTTTGGTGTCACCTTTGGACAAAGTAATACTTTTTTCTCATCTTGTACAAAGAAATCTTCTTATTAATGCTCTTGCTTTTGTAGGTCATAAAAAGGCATCACCATTTACTGGTGAAGGAGGGTTATTTTTATCTTTGTGGTAGTTCGTTAAAGGTTGAACCAACAATACCAGCCAGACTGGTAAAAGGTGTAACAGATTTATTTGAGAAACAATGCAAGGTAGGGGGAAATTCAGGGTCTGTGGGCTGTGTGAGGGTCCAGAGGTGAGTGACAGGCAGTGAGGGTTTTAAATCCAGAGAGTGCTGGGCTGTGGGCTGGGGCAGGAGAAAAAGGTCTCTCTCTCCCTTTCTCTCTCTACCTCCCTCTCTCTTTCTCTCTCACGCTCCCTCTCTGAGTGTGTTTGGTCCTGCAAAGCACCAAGCCGAGCTGCATATGAAAAAAAATGTTGGGATCAGCATTCTGTCCTTGCTGCAGGAGGCAGGCAGTCTGTCAAAATCCCACATTGAAACACACCATGTCACTGCAAAATGACAGAGTTCATATGTACATTTAATGGGATAAAGTGCTGGTTTTTGTGCTATTGAGTAGATTGAAGTTAAACTGCAGAGGTTATTGATTTGCCCTGGTTCTGGTAGGGTAGTGCTGATTGAGACTGAGTAGGTATGGACACTGCTTTTTGCTGTAATCCACATATTTTGGCCATTTTCTTATTCTGTTTTATAGATATAGGTTTCCAGTAAACCCTATTATCTTTGCTTTTGCAAAAGAATTTGTTCATGTTTGACAATTTTTAGTATTAAGCACTATTTCTCTCCCTTTCAGTTCACATATCAGGAGAAGGTTGGGGTGGACAACGCCATCTACCTTCTCCACCGGTCTCTCTCCCACTTGGACAGGGGCAACTGCGCAGTGAGAATCATGTTCTTTGAATTTTCCAAGTCGTTCAACACCATCCAACCCCTGCTCCTGAGACACCAGCTTACTGGAATGGGTGTGGATTAAAACCTTGTAGCGTGGCTTACGGACTATCTGACTGATAGACCCTAGTATGTCCGGCTGGTGGACTGCATGTCAGAGACTGTCATCAGCAGCACAAGAGCTCTGCAGGGGACTGTGCTTTCTCCTGTTCTGTTCACCCTGCACACATCGGACTTCAAGTACAACTCAGAGTTGTTCCACATGCAGAAGTTCTCAGATGACACTGCAATCTTGGCGTGTATTAGGGATGGTCAGGAGGAAGAGTACAGGAGCCTCATCCATGACTTTGTCACTATGGGCTCTATTTTCGTTCGCGCTGGTGAGGCGGCGGAGGACGGCGAGCCCCGCGCAGTTGTATTTTCGTCTGGCGGAGCCCGGCGTAAGGCGAGTTTGGTATTTTCGTGGACTGAGTCGCACGGAGGCGAGCCGAGATCCGCCAAGCTGGGCGTGGTGGCGTGGCAGGGGGAGGTGTTGACAGAATCAGCTGGCGCAGTGACATTTTCGTGCTCGCCACCGGCGTGTAACGTGCGCTGAAAGCTCGCCGATTCAAACCTGGTCAGCTTTCAGCGCAAGGCGGAACGCAGCTGGTCTAGTAGTATTTTGGTAGACCGGCGGCGTATCGACATACGTCACTGATGCCTCACCGGCAGGTTTCCACAGTGTCAGGCAGATTTCAGTGCAATAAATAATTATCAACAAC